ACGTTGATCGGCACTTCTCCAAGCTCAAGCTGGCCTCCAATGATGTTGAAGATCAATCTAGGGCACTTGGAGACTCTTGTTCGTCGCTTTCTCTCTCTAGGAATCGTTCTCTCTCTCAAAAACTCGAATCCCCTTCTGTTTTAGGTGTGCCCGTGTTTTGGCTCTAGCTCGACAAAATGACTTCCGAATGCCCCGAAACTCGTGCTTAGCCTTCCCTTTGACGCCTGGGACCTGAAATATGACAAAATAGCACAACCCGGAGTAAAATAGGCCAAAATACACGACTATGCCTCTCAAACGGATAAGAACTAGGGGCGCAAATATGTGCAATTACATCGTTATCAAACTCCCCCACACTTCACCGTTTGCTTGTCCCCAAGCAAACCTAACTCAAACCAATGCAACTCTCCAGACCTCTATAGCAACAACCAACCCAGATCGTAGGTAGAGGACTTCTAGATCATTTAGCAACTTACGAGGTCAACCGACGCACAAGTCATCTCATAGTTCCTTCGGCGAGAGCACTAGTATCGAGTCGGCATCATGGCAAATAGTGAACAGAGGACAAATGAATTGTGGATGAAGAGATTCTCAAAAACAAAGGATCATGGACTCACATTTTTCAAGGTGCTCTATTTTCTTCGAAGATGGTTGGAACCCCTTTTCTTTCTGTTTTGCTTGTTTTCTGTTATTTTTTTTTTCTCTTTTTTTTTCAAGGTCCCAACCTGCTCTTACCGGCCATGCCAGGAGCGGATGTCTCGAGCCTCGTGCGGGGGAAAGACATGTAAGGGGGCTGGAGGTAGTAGGTGGAAATTGGGAACGAATTCCCGTCTCCCCTTACACACTTTCGCCCTATTCGCACGGGAGACGTTATTTTGAAGCACATTTTCGAGCACCTGTTAAACTCAAAACAAGAAACAAGAGTCCATGACAGGTAGAGAATCCACAACACCACACAATTCAAGGGTCCTAAGATCACTAATTCACTCAATCAACCAACACAATATGAAGAAGAAATGAGACTTCTTAAATGCATCAACATCCTCCATAGTGCTACACTACCTCCCTAGGTTGCATATTACTATAAAGACTGTCAATTCAAAGCATAGTGAGCAGGCAATTGCACGGAAACACGTACTTGGAGCCCTCAAATTTAAAAATTTGGACAGTGGACTAGGCTCCAAGCACACAAACAGATCTAATGCAGTCAAAAGATAAACATCCCCCCACACTTAAGATTGACATTGCCCTCAATGGAGAAGAGGGAAGGGAAAGGGGAATGATGTTACCGGCATGCACGGACTGCAGGAGACTGGAAGCGGACCAGTCGGAGTGAAGCGGACTGGAGAGAGGACCAGTCAAGACAAGCACAGCCAAAGGAAACCAAAGAGCTCAAACATAATATGTTAGGTTCAATGTCAGCCCAATAATAAATCATCCAAAACAAAAGAAAACAAACCAAAACCAAACCGGTTTACAATCCGACTCAAAACACAAGAAAGAAAGTCAAACCGTGGTGGGGTTGCCTCCCCACAAGCGCTTCTTTACCGTCTTTTAGCTGGACGCCCATGGTGGATACTCAGGGAGGTGCAGGAACAGGTGCCTCCAAGAGCGGATCCACGTCGCTCTTGAGGTACAGCTTCAGGTTGTGGCCATGCACCCGACGGATGCGACCACCATCATCAGTCAGCTCGACCTGGCCATCCGGTAAGATGCATGCGAGTGAGTACCCGGACGGCCAGGGTGGTCGTAGTGCAGAAGGTGGGACCAGCTCATAGTGGTCTCCACCCTTCTTCCGTGCAGGCTTGGCAACCTGCTGCTTCGGCCGCCACTCCTCCTTGAGCTTTTTGTTCGGAGGCGAGACTGGATGGAGTGGCGGCGAAGGAATGATAGGAGGGTCCTGCAAAATAAGAGGTGCAGAAGGATACAAGACAGGCTCGTGTACCTGATTAGAAATGGCATGCACAGGTGTGACAGCAATCATAGCACAGTGATCAAATTCAGTCACAGAAAAAGTAGCCTGTTCATTCCCAGCACGCAAGATCAGTTTACCATCATGCACATCAATAAGTGCCTTGGCGGTGGCAAGAAATGGTCTACCCAGAATCAAAGGTACATCCACATCCTCATGTATATCAAGAATAACAAAATCAACAGGATATGTGAATGCACCGACACTGACAAGCAGATCCTCTATGATTCCCCTAGGATGCACAATGGAACGATCAGCCAACTGAATGCTCATCCTAGTAGAGCTAAGTTCACCTAGGTCTAGCTTTTTATACAACTTATATGGCATGACATTTATGCTAGCGCCTAGGTCCGCCAAGGACTTGCCTACATGCATGCTACCAATAGTAAGAGGGATAGTAAAACTCTTTGGATCCTTGCGCTTTTCGGGCAGCTTGTTCTGCAGGATAGCAGAACACTCCTCGCTCAGAAACACTGTCAAGAGATCCCCAAGTTTCTTCTTGGTGAGGAGATCTTTCATGAACTTGGCATACTTGGGCATCTTCGACAGTGCCTCCAGGAACGGTATGCTGATGTTGAGCTGCTTCAACATTGCCATAAACTTGGCAAACTCAGTCTCCAACTTGTCTTTGTGAAGGCGAGTGGGGAAGGAAAGTTGGGGTACATGCTCCTTAACCACTGGTTGTGGCTTGGGGGCAGGGGCTTCCTTCTCCACTCGCACTTCTGCATCGTCGGCTGGAAGTGCTGAAGCAGGTAGTGGTTCCTCCTGTCTGGCCGGGACAGGATCAGCAGATATGGTCTTACCGCTCCTGGTAAAAATGGCATCCAGCTGCTGGAGCTGGTGAGGATCCCCGAGGATTCGGGATAGTGGTGGCAGGCAGAGTCCCCGACGCCCTGGTGGTGTTTTGGCGGGCCAAGATGCCCACCTGGGTCTGCAGATCCTGCAAAATGGCACCCTGGTTCCGCTAACCTGCCTCCAGTGACGTGATAGCAGCCTGAGTGCTAGTCATGAATGAAGCTAGAATATTTTCCAGCTTTGTCATCTGGTCATCTGGGGCAGGGGCTGATGCTGGTTCGACAAACTGACGCTGGGCTGTTGGAATGGTTGCCCCTGCCGAGGCTGGTAGGGCTGCTGCTGTGGGGCTGGCCCCTGTCGAGCCTGGAAGGGCTGCCTCTGCTGAAAACCACCTGCTAGTGCTGGGAAACCAGGTGGTTTAGTGGTGTTGCTGCTCCAGGCGAAGTTGGGATGCTGGCGCCACCCCTCATTATATGTGTTACTGTATGGATCGAGGCGCCGCTCATTGGCGATGAAGGCCAACTGCTCCTGGGGTGTGGTAGACTCCCTCATAGCCTGGCAGTCCTCCACTAGGTGATTGGAGCTCTCACACCACTGACATTGAGCTACTGGAGGTGTAGCCACACCTCTGCCCGGAATAAGACTGTTGGGCTGCTTCAATGTCTGCACTAGCTAAGCTACCTGCTGCTCGAGCCCGGATCTGGTCTCCATGGCGTGCACACCACGGTCCCGGGAATGTCTGCCTCTACTACCCTGTCCCCAAGAATGATCTCTGACAGCCAAAGTACTGATCATCTGGTTCAGCTCGGGTGGAGTCTTAGTAAGAATATCCCCTCCTGGGCATAGAGACTCAATCACCCTCTGGCTGTCTGGAGAGAGAGCACTGTAGAAATTTCCCACTGTAAATGCATCACTGAAACCATGATGGGGACACTGCCAGAAGTATCCCATGTACCGCTCCCATGCATCACGGAGTGACTCATCTGGCTCTTGACGGAAGTGAGTGATCTCCCGCTGTATCTCTGTAGTCTTCGATGCCGGATAGTACCTGTGCACGAATTTGTCAGCCAGATCATCCCAAGAGGTGATGGACAATGGGGGCTGGGTCTCCAACCACCTCTTAGCATTCCCCGCCAGAGAATGGGGGAAGAGATGAAGGCGGATTGCATCATCCGGGACACCATTTAGCTTGAACCCGTTCGTCAGCTGCAGAAAACGAGAAAGATGCACCCTGGCCTCCTCATCCTTCAAGCCATGGAACTGGATAGAGGATGTAATGAGCTGAATCCAGCATGGCTTGATCTCGAAGTTATTTGCTTGAATAGACGGGTAGAGGATGACCGGGCGGATGTCAGCAATCCGAGGAGTGTAGTAGTACTCCAAGGTGGGGCCCGGCTGCGGTGGATGATGAACTCCATGGTCCTGGGGTATGGGGTTGTTCCCCAGGACCTGATTCACCGGGGTAACCTGCTGAGGATTCCCTTGGTGCTGATTGTAGTCTCCGTCCATCCCGTACTCTTCTTCAGAATCGCTACTCAAGTGGTCGTCTAGGCGCTCTTCCATAGCCAGTCTAGCTCGCTGTTGTCTCCTGAGTTGGCGACAGGTGCGGTCAATCTCTGGATTCAACGGCAGTAAACCTCCTGACTGGCTACGGGTCATGCACTACTTGCACACACTCAAGCAAGCAAACCCGTGAAGGCACAAGTGGGACAAAGCAAACAAAGCGAAAAGAAAAGGCTAAATTAACAGAAATCACTTTTCTTCAACAACCTAGCCGTCCCCGGCAACGGCGCCAAAAACTTGACTCACTTCTACTGTCACCCTAGGAATTGGCCAAGTGTAACCACTTCCTAAAGCGTAGTATAGCGGGTTTAGGTTTAAATGTCAACCCGGGTCCTAGATTTGATGACTACTCGGTGAATTCTTGTTATCTAGCAATGAAACTTTAATGCAAGTCTAAACTAACAAACTAACAAAGCAAGTAAACTGTTGTATTCAGGTTAAGAGAGGTCACCCAGATATGGTTCCCCCTAGACTGCAGTTAAGTCGGATTGTAATTACCAAGTTCAGTTTCTATGATAGTTATACTGCGGAAGGTTCTTAAACAGCCTGAAGTCTCGACTAAAGGTCTTCAGACCCTCTCAATCTGAGTCTCTAGCGGGCGACTAACCTCCACCGGAGTAAACAGATTGAGGCCTTAACAAACAAAACCTCCACTACCGGAGTAAATCCGGTACAGAATAGTGAGTTGGCTCCTCGACTAAAGTCACCAACTCCCTACCTTCAATCAAGGATGCTCTATCAACCTAGGCAGATATTCTCATTCTAGGTCAAAGCAGAAACAACAAGAATTTGATCAAGATTCAAGTCATTCAATCATTCAAACCTCAATCGAATATAATCAAATCATAGAATCAGTACTTGGGTTCATACAATCAAAGCCTAACATACAAATCTAGGATTCTCCATACCCATATGAATGGGAGAACTACTCCATGGAGAAAGAGGCAAAAGCAGAATCAGACGCGGAATTCATACTGTGAAGGTTGGATTCCTGCTCCTGGACGTTGATCGGCACTTCTCCAAGCTCAAGCTGGCCTCCAATGGTGTTGAAGATCAATCTAGGGCACTTGGAGACTCTTGTTCGTCGCTTTCTCTCTCTAGGAATCGTTCTCTCTCTCAAAAACTCGAATCCCCTTCTGTTTGGCTGAAAATCTGCTTAAAAGGGCATCAGTGGCCAAAGCACGGTCGAGGGCACGGCCGTGTAATGCCTCAGCCCGCCCGTGCTTTGGCTAGGGTTAATTACACGACCAGTGCATTGGTGCAAACACGGCCGTGCTTTGGAGAGGACACGGCCGTGCTTTGGGTGAACACGGCCGTGCTTTCAGCCCGTGTTTTGCCAATGTTTGCCAAACTCGAATTCGCTCTCGGCAGTAAAAGCACGGCCACAGAACACGGCTGTGTTCTGTTTTAGGTGTGCCCGTGTTTTGGCTCCAGCTCGACGAAATGACTTCCGAATGCCCCGAAACTCGTGCTTAGCCTTCCCTTTGACGCCTGGGACCTGAAATATGACAAAATAGCACAACCCGACGTAAAATAGGCCAAAATACACGACTATGCCTCTCAAACGGATAAGAACTAGGGGCGCAAATATGTGCAATTACATCGTTATCAGAAATCCTATTAACTGAACATATTTCATGTGACATAGTAACTTATCGAAGCGACAGTGGATTAAATAAGGTGCTATGCGGTCTTAAATAGGATATCGTTCTTCAGGCTGAATAATTAAGTCATTGAGCTACGACAGTAGGATTTGATTTAATTGTTTAGTACGTAGTAATTCCCGACAGGGATAGCTAGCACCGCAGAGATATCCTGGCTGTAAAGATATGGATTAAACTGATTGGAATTAATCTGGATAGGATAGGTAGTGAATCCCGGTGTTTCTCCCAGAGCTTTCTCCCATAGATTTAAACCCGACACTTTAATTTGCTTAATTAGTTTAATTATTTTGCTAGTAGTTAATAATCTCGTTAAACCATTTTCACCTATAGTTTGCTCTATTAAATCGGTAAATCTTAAGGTTGTACCAGTCCCTGAGAGACGATACCCAGACTTTCCGGTTTTACTACAAGATAGGAATTGAAGCTATACGCTTTTGACCTATCAAGGGAACTATCACACGAAAGAAACAATCGGCTCAAAGCTCACAGGCTACCTAGTTACCCAACCATCTATTCCAATTCACAAACACGATGCATGACAATTGTAAACAACAAGTGATCAAGTCAAGACATCCATTCATTTATGCACACCTAAGAACTAAACTTTTGCCATATCCTAATGAACTTCTAATTCATCATCGTAGGATATACTCGATCACATGCAACAATTCAAGATCAAATGCCCAAAAAACACGAGAATTTCCCACCATCTGACCACTTTGATCATGCAAACATTGCTTGGAGCCCTCAAATTTTTGAAATTTGGGCATACAAAAGGCTCCAAGCAACATCACACTCACACAAGTATACTAGTAGACTACCCCCACACACACACCCACACTTAAACTCGACATTGCCCTCAATGGCGAAAGAAAGGGGTAGAATGATGTTACCGCTTGGGCTTGGTGAGTGAAGGTTGGAATCGATCCGGGGTAGGATAATTTGAGCTTCAAGGAGAGAAAAAACACACACACACAACCACATAATTTCCTCTCTAAGCTAGGCTAAAGCAGCCAATTAGATTGCTAGCACCTACATGCACAAACCTAAGGGTGCTAAGCATAAAACATGCACAACCCCTAAGTTGCCAAGCACAAGCATGCAAAAATCATGATAAATAATGCATCAATAATTGAATTGAACAATACCCAATGACAATTATCCAATACACATAAAAGAAAACTACATGGTAGAGTTAGGGTTTCACTACACCTAAATGAAAGGAGGTCTACTCCATGCTAGAAGTGGGAAAAATAAAAGGGAAAGAGATGGAAACCATCTTGGAGGATGCTCCCAGTCTTCTTGGAGGAAATCTTCCCAAAATCTACCTTGAAGCTAAACCCTAGCCTTCTTCTCCCTTTGGTTCGTGTTTCTCTCTCTAGAATGTAGAAGAAGGCTTTTCACACCAAATGGGCTCTTCCCTCTCTCCTCCTTTAAGCTCATCTTTTAAACCAGAGATAAGCTGAGTTCACGGCCGTGAACCATGAAACGCGTCTGTGAACTGCAGGCGTGCGCCAAAACGCGCCTCATTGTTCACTCGAGTTCACGGTTAACTGCCTTTGTTCACGGTCTTAGTGACCGTGAACTCACCTTGCGTTAGTAACCTTCACTTTGGCTCTGGACTCCTCTCGATTCACGGTCAACTCCTCTTCTTCACGGTCATGCAAGACCGTGAACTCCCTTTGCTAACCGTGAACTGGCTCTTTTCACCTCTTCTCACGGTTTTCGATCCTTTTCGCCAATCTTTCGACTCTGAGGCTGATTTCACCTGTTAAATCCTGAAACATACTCAAACACGAAGAACCTAGCGTAAAACCAACCTTTAAGGATTGAACTTGGCACAAACACCTAAGTAAAACGGGAGCAAAACATGTGCAATTAGGCCTGAATCGCCAATACCAGGTAATAACATAGTTTTGTTCATATAAACTATAAAGTGTATGTATATATCCTTGTTTAATTGGTTGTTGTAGCCGTATGCATAATTTGAATTGAGTATTGTAAAATTTGATAGTTTAATTGGATAATACATAAAGAAAGAAACTATCTAATTCTAATATTCATCGGCGGAAGTGTATAACCTTTTCTTCTAATTTTGAGATAATATGTTTTGCTACTACTTTAGTTTTAGGGTTAATACCTTATTTTGGCTCGAACTATGACCATATAATCAACTTTGGCACGTGGTTTCAGAACTTAACATTCTGGCCTCAACCATGCAAAATATAGATTCAATTGGCCCGACACATGGTTTGACCATCAATTTGGACGGTCAACACCGTTGACCATTAGTCAGCATGCCATGTCGGCCTAAAAATAATTTAAAAAAATTTAATTCAAATTATTTTTCCAATTTCTTTTATTTATCATTTTCAAATTGACCAAAAAATAAATTTAAAAATATAAAATAAAATAAATTTATTTTTATTTTTTGTGATATTTGAAATTGATAAATTTTATAAATTAACCAAAAATTATCAAATTAAATTTTATAAATTTAAAAAATATGATATAAATTATATATTTTATTTTTTGGATAATTTTTAAAATATAAAATAATTTCATAATTTTTGGTTAATTTATAAAATTTATCTTTTTCAAATTACCCAAAAATTAAATTTATTTATGTTTTTTTTAGTTTATATTTGGTTAATTTGATAAAAATTATAAAAATGAGAAAAATAATTAGAATTTGAATTTTTTAATGATTTTTAGGTTGACATGGTAATGACATGGCGTGTTGACTAACGATCAATGGTGTTGACCATCCAAATTGATGGTCAAACTTTGTGTCGGGCCAATTGAGTACATATGTTACACAGTTGAGGCCAAGATGTTAATTTCTAAAACCAATGGCCAAAATTGATTATATGGTTATAGTTCAGGCCAAAATAAGGTATTAACCCTTAGTTTTAATAGTTATTTATGATATTTGCTAATTGAATGATTGCTTATTTGTTGTTTTGAATTCATATATGGACAAGTTTTTAATAAAAAGACCATAAACTCTTCCAACATCAAACACGTCAAGTTGAGAATCGAGTAAAAGGAAACATAGTGAAACTCAATCTTGCTCGCCTTTGGTGAATCAAAATACTGATCTTTCAAGTTTCAAGTAAGTCTCCTTCATTACCTGAACATGGAGAACACGTGATTGACGATGTGAATAAACTAGAAGTTGATCCAGGGTTAATGAGAAAGTTCTCGGACTTTCCTATTAATATGCAAGATGAAATTGGAAGAGCATATCTTCTAAGAGAAATTTTACAATGCTATATAGTATTGGTGCTATAGGATTTTGCTTTTATGGTACAACTTAAAATTGTACATTTATGTTATGGTACAACTTTAGATTGTACCTATACTTTTTGTACAAATTCTTTTATGGTACAACTTGAATTTGTACCTTTATGTGATGGTACAACTTCAAGTTGTAAAGTTGTACCATAACATAATGGTACAAATTGCTTTATGGTACAACCTAAACTTATACATTTAATGTTATGGTACAACTTTAAGTTGTACATTAAAGCACCAATACTATATAGCATAGTAGAAGGGCTCATCTTCTAAAAGGTCCTCATCAGCCAACTGGTCCTACTTTTCCAATTTCTAACATGAGCGGGTTCAATCGAAGATTCAATCCAGCTTGGTATAAGGAGTATAAGAATTGGCTTGAATACTCGATTGCAAGAACTGAACACTCATGTGTTGTTGACATGAGATCGCGGTCGCAATCTCTAGTATGTCAACTGTAAACTTTGCCCTGACCATGACAACATGTTTTCACCAATTCCTTATGCTTAATCATTCATCTAAATAATTCAAACATCCAAAGACAAGACAAAGGCAAGGGCTAAGTCATATTAATCATTCTCAATGCAATTCTTATTTCTACTCAAGTAATTATTCAAAAAGAAAAAGGAAAAGATACACAAACCGAGTTGTTGGATTGCCTGCCACAAGCGCGTCTTCAAAAGTCTTTTTGCCGGACTTGACTCCTTGAGATAAAAAGGCGAGATCTCCCTCCTTCACCGATGATTCTTCGTAGAAATCATATTTATGGTGAAGTCCCAAGTGAAAACTATGGATTCTCTCGGATGCCTCATCCTGTGCTTGAAATAGGAATGATTCATCCGAAGGTTGATGCGCATGATTGAAGTAACCAAGCTCTCTTTTACTTGTATCATCATCAGTGAATGTCTTATAACATTCCCTGAATTCTTCATCTTCGAGTATAGGAGCTATGTTGTTCTTAACATCCCGACCTCTTTCCTTGGGGTATCTCTCTTCAAAGATGAACCTCTTAAGTTTCTTTATATGATCATTGACTTGATGAGAAACTTAGAACAACTCTTGAGTATCCCTTTTGTGAGAAAATTTTTCCTTACCCGGTCTCTTTATAATCTTGAAAGAATCACACGCACCTTCAACTATACTATCATGGGGGTCAACTTGAGAGACCATTTTGCTCTCCCGCAGTCCTCATTATGTCGACGCCCTCCTCTACCACCACCATCATCATGTGAGTCACTCTCCCCCACTATCTCTGTCTCCAAACCCATATATGTCTTTTTCGTGTGGTAAGGCTATCAATGTACTAGTAATATTATCGATGGAGTGGTACGTTATCAGTGTACTAGTAATGTTATCGATGGAGTGGTACTGGTAATGTTATCGGTGGATTGGTAACGTTACAAGTGTTCTGGCAATGTTATCAATGGATTGGTAACGTTACAAGTGTTCTGGCAATGTTATCAATGGATTGGTAACGTTACAAGTGTTCTGGCAATGCTATCATAGAGTGGTAACGCTGTGTTTTGATATAGTCGTCTCCACGTGCCACTAGGCGCTCAATTTTATCGCAACATAAGGGATATGAATATCAAGGGGAAGGATGGTGCAGATGGTGTTATCTAGAGTTGAAGAGAGACTTTTTTGAAAAGCTAAAACCCTAGAAAGATAGTATAGAGAAAATGAGTCTTTTGGACAAGAAGTAGAGCTTGAAAAAAAAAAAGATTTCCAGCAGCTTGGAGTTATTTTCTGATGGTTTTCCCTCCCCTATCCCTTGTTCTTCTTCTCCCCTTAATGGGGGAATTTCTCAAGGTACGTAGGGCTTACTCCTCCAAAACCTAGTTTATGGTTTAGTATGTAATGAATTATGATTGTTAATTTATGGTTTGAGTTCAATTAGTGTCTAATGCTTTAACTCATGGTTTATATTCATGTAGATTATGTTTGCAAGTGTTTTGTCCTGTCAATGTAAAGACTTAGCTTAGGTTGTGATGGCCATTCCCCTAGGTTGAGTGCTCATTTAATTGATGACTCTTGAAAGTTTACATGACCATTGATTCGTTCAAGTGGTGTAAAAAAACTAACCTAACTAACCTGATTTTGGCTGATTTGACATGACAAAATCGTATAAATTATAGATTTCAAAGATTTTAATGTTTCTAATTGGGATTATATGGGCTTTAATGATTCAAATATTTAGTAGTAAAATCAAGATCACGACATCATGAAAACATAAAATTTTAAGATTAAAATTAGAATTTGACTACACTAAGTCCAATTACCTTTTAAGAAAGTACATTTTTTTAAGTTAAGCATGTCACGAACTTAGATCTACCAATGTCCGGATGATCATCATGTCACGCAAGTGCAACTCACATCATGTTAAACAAGATTACATTTTTAACTCTCACTTGACTAGCTACGCACACGGCCACCTTACTTTCAGAGTGATGAAGTCTCATGTAGTTACACACTCCTTCATATAAGAGCTTAAGTTCAAGTATGTTACGATCACTTTGCTAGCATGAGGTTACCTAACATCCCACAGTGATGAAGGTCATGTTATCACGTTTTGGTGGCCAGACGTTTGCGCTAGAAGTGTTGAGCTCGAGTTTCCTCATTTCCAAGAAAACTAAGCTTAATAACACACCATCATTACAAAAATAAAAGATTGAGATTGTTCTGATAAATTATCGCAATTTTTCGAATCAAATAAATCTCTGTGGCGTAAGAAAATATTTCTCATTTCTCCCTCAAATAGATTTTCCTTTTTGGCGAAGCGATTTCACCCTTTCTGCTGTTGTCTTGGGAGACCCACCAAAGCACGAAAGCCAGGATCTCATGTGCTTTTTATCTATGTATGTATGTATTTAAGTATGCCAAGGTGTTCTTTCTTAAGTACAAATGAATCTAGGACGTATGACTGACCCCATACACGCACTCAGGACTTCTAGAATCACATAAACTTGGCAGGGAATCAATAGTTTATCACAAGGATTAGTGTCTCTAACATAAGCATGTCAGAGAATCAGTAGTTCATCGCAAGAATTAGTGGCTTCAGAAGACTTCGACACTTAGTTAAGTTCAGTATATGGTGGGACATGAAACTTGATGGTGTTTTATGAAGGATAATGAATTATTATGATAAGTATTTCAAGGTTGTTCATATTTTCAACATTCTTTTCATATGTAACTTTTCGAGTTTCTTTTCAAGTATTTACTATTAATATGTTTGAAGAATATTTTGGAAAAGGTAGTATGAGAGCTAAGGTGTTGCAATAACTAGAAAAAAGGATCCGATCTCATTTGACAAAGCAACCATGCCAGAATCTTTATGAAATCCACCAATTGCTTGATGGCTTGGCTGGACGAAGAAGGGACGGCCTTTGAAGTGGGTATGGCCGTGGCTGACTCTGACTGAGAGGCGAGAGATCTTTACTAAGGCTAGGATCTTTTTCCTGAAAGGCCAAAGTGGGGGGTGACGTGGCCGTTTCTCTATCTCTACCAAACTATCCATTACCAGAAAAGTCCAACAAAAGCCCAAAGCCCTTCCCTTCCCTTCCCTTCCCTTTCCCCTCATTTTCTCTCTCCCTCCGTCTGCACTTTTTCTCGCTTTTTCTTTCCTCTTTCGTCTTCACCCCTGCCACGTCTGCTCCTCTTCTTCCTCCTCTATCCTACGCCTCTCCCCACCTTCCCCTCACCCTTTGCTGGCGCATTTTAGATGCGACCCAATACAGGAGAAACCAGAACTGGAAGGAGAGCTAGTTGGACGGAATGGATCGATGGATACATGTGTATATGATAGGTATCTGAAGAATCTTCACGGTCTTTTGATGGACCTGCTACCTTGCGCCTTACTCCTCCAGTCCCCGGGGGCGATCCCTAGCTTTTTTCCTTTCTTCATTTGTTCGACTTGCTTAATCTATTTGTAGCTCCTCTTTCTTCGTCGTCGCTAGGTCGTAGTCGTATCTTGCTTTACATATGAATCCTGGCCAGAGGGTTTCTCGGACTGAGTTTGAAGGGGAGCGCTTTCCCATGGAATTTCTCTAGTATTCCCCCCCGTCTTTTTTGCTGCCTTGGTTGTTTTTGGGTGGGCTGAATTGGAGGGAGGTTTTGAATAAAGGTTGGGCTGCCATGGAAGAGGGGAACGAGGAGTTGGCCAACATGGATTGTGGTGGTGCTACTGCTGCTGGTACCAGTGCGGATGGAGGGGATGGTTTCATTGACAGAAGTAAAGTCAGGATCCTGCTCTGTGATAATGACCTCTCCAGCTCCGAGGAGGTTTACACTCTTCTTTTGAAGTGTTCTTATCAGGGTATAATTTGCATTTTCATTTCAATTCTTGGTATTAGAGTTCTTGTTACAATTGTTTTAGAGCCTATTTTTCATTGCTTATTCAGAATCTTTGATTGGAATTAGCTTGCTTTAGGGCCTACCTTAGAAAACTTGCTTCAACGGTGTGCCTGTGCAGTCAGAATTGAGTCAACTGAAGAAGGATTGCCTATTTTGTTCTCTCATTGGGCATATTGGTTAAGAGTTAATAATGTCTTCTTTTCTCCTCTTGATTGTTGTAATGACCTACTGAAGCAGAATACGAATGAATGCTTTCCAAACCGACCAACTCCTACTTTTTTATGCATAAGACCGTGAGTCGGCCCGAGGATCCTCGGTTTAGTTGTCATAGGCTTCACTCTAACCCTATGCAACCTTTTGCCCGGTTCTCTGGCTTCTAAACTGAAATAAATGGAAGTTCACTTGTCCAACTGTCTTTTGTTTTCTTGTCTATACACGCTAGTATATGGTTTGTCAATAGACCAAATGCATATGGAAGTACATTATTTAGGGCCTTAGTGTTTTCTCCCGGCTCCGCTTATAATTATTATGATTATGGATCCATTTCAGATGTCTATTCTTCTTCAAGGGAAATTCCTGAAATAGCGTTTTTGTTGTTCTTTTCTCTTCAGTTACATCAGTCAAATCTGCTAGGCAGGTGATTGATGCCCTGAACGCCGAGGGGCCAGATATTGATATCATTCTTGCGGAGGTTAATCTTCCAATGAAGAAAGGCATGAAGATGTTGAAGTATATAACTCGCCATAAGGATTTGCGGCGCATTCCAGTGATCAGTAAGCAATTTTAAGATCAGTATTGAAACTATAATCTTTCTGAACCGTAGGATGGAATTTGCTGAAATTATATCCATTTTGATCAGTGATGTCAGCTCATGATGAGGTTTCGACTGTTGTCAAGTGCTTGAGATTTGGAGCAGCTGATTACCTTGTTAAGCCTTTACGCTCCAATGAGTTATTAACTCTATGGACGCATATGTGGCGGAGAAGAAGGATGGTTTGTCTATGCTTTCGCCTACATGCTTACATCAATTCACATCCTATCTCTCCTGTTTGTGCGATCTTATGCTTGATATGTTCATTTTAGGTGAAAGCATTTATTTCCAATCTGAATGGGTGTTGTTGGCAGGCGCTCATTAGATGGGGAAAATATATATTTGTCAATAAGATGAATGAATTAGGATGACTTCGTTTCATCAATGGATTTATTTAATGTGTATGAAAGGCTGCATCCTTCACCTGGTCGGCCATTGTTCATTCTATATTTTGCTGTTTCAATTCCCATTGGCTAGGCCATTTATTCCCCCCTGACATACATTTAGCCTCTTCTAGAACCCAGATGTGCATTGTTATTTTGGCACTTACTCCGTTCTTTTTGGCTGGCAGCTTGGATTGACGGAGAAGAACATTGTGAACTATGAATTGGACCTAATTGCATCAGACCCGAGTGATGCTAATACAAATAGTACCACTCTGTTCTCTGATGATACAGATGACAAGTCACGGAAGAGCAACAACCCTGAGACTGTGGCATCAATTCATCCAGATGATGAAGTGAGTGTCATGCAACATAGTTTCTCTGGCACTTGGACTCGTGCTCTAGAAAGTAGTCATTTTTTGACTTGGTAATCTGAGGCCAATTTAACTTCTATGTGCTTCAGACAACAAATACCTCGGATATATGACCACAACTTTAAGTCTAGTATATGTTTGAAGCTTTTGAGGAAATTGGTAGTTGGAAGTTGTAAGCTCGTGATTGATGTGATCATATTTAAGCATTGGCAGATTTCTCTCGACACGTGATAGTAGTGACTTAACTACAAGATCAAATGAAATAACTTCTTAAGATGCATTGATTATCTAGCCTGTGGAAAATACTCGTGCTTTAGATATCTGTTGGGATTTCAGAATATGCCTCCTCTTTATAACATGCATGTTGTTATGGATCATTACCATCCAAGATCATTCCTGATTAGATGAATAATTCTTGAAATCACATTTGATGCACCATTTTGCTGTTTTTCACTGATTCAGAAACTTTGTAATTAAGTTGTTTTCCGTTATTACTGAAAGCCTTACTTGTGGTTCATAATGCCATCTACTGAATCTTGTTACAAATGTTATGATTGGAAACAATAATATCATACTTGATGTTTTAGTCTGTTGTGGCTGCTGCTGCTGATGCCGCTGCCGCTGCTGATGCTTTTACCATCACCGAACCTCTGCATGGAAATCCCCGAGAATATCTGCCTGCTGTCCCAGGAATCACTGACCGCCGTCGTGCTGGTGAGTTAACTGATGATATTTGCTGCTGATGTGCCCTGAGTTGACTCAATGTGAACACAAATCTTTGAATGGGAGTATTAGCTGGAATTAGAGACTTGCAAAATTGGTGTAGGAGGTCATTGAAGAAATTTCCTTGGGTCTTTGTCTTTTCTAGTATCCTTTTCTTAAGTGGTGTGTGACACTCTTTAGAGGTTTTCCTGCTTGAATGTGGGTCTTGATTTGTTTGAATATGTGCCAAATGGAGACAGATTATATATTGTCCTTGTGTCAATGGCATTGTTATTTTTTCTGCATTCAGAAATCAATTGGGGCTCTTATTTTCTTGTCTTTCTGGTTTCAGGAAACTTCTCAGCTGGCCCAAAGAAGAGCGAACTGAAGATTGGGGAATCTTCTGCCTTCTTCACATATGTCAAATCAAGCCCAGTGAAAAGCAATGCCCAAGATGTTGTTGCTCAAATTGAGGAGAGTAGGCCGAGGATGGAAGAGAGAGTTGATCAAAGCTATGACCAGCAGCAGGCATTTACCAACACTCAATTACAGGAAAACGGGGAGGCTTGGGAAAGTTATTCACAAGGAGATGACTTCCGAAGCAGTGCTAGTGTCCCGGATTCTCTTTCTCTAGACAGATCTTGCACCCCTCCTGGATCGAGGGACTATCCCGAGTTGAATTTCAAGGAAGAAAATCTACAGCACATGCTTCTTGGCAACCATCAGAGAAATGAATCTCGACCTCAAGCTACAGGTATACAAACACAAAATTTCTATTCGTATTACATGCAAGGGGTAATGAATCAAGTTATGATGCCATCATCATCGTCGCATCTACACGAGAAGAATATGCTTGAACTACTACAGAGTCAGGCTCAGTACAACAATCATCTTCTACAGCATAATACGAGCACCCATGTACCTGGCCAGCCACCACCACCATTTCCCTATTACCCAGTTAGCATATGCTTACAACAACCTGGTCAAATCCCTAGTAGTACCAATAATTCATGGCAGCCATCATTTGGAGGTGGAGGCTCATCCTTGGCAGAATCCAGCAAAACAAACCAAGTAGATAGAAGAGAGGCAGCACTGATCAAGTTCCGGCAGAAGAAGAAAGAACGTTGCTTTGCTAAGAAGATACGGTATGTTAACCGGAAAAAGCTTGCTGAAAGGAGGCCTCGTGTGCGTGGACAGTTTGTTAGGAAGTTAAATGGTGTGAATGTGGATCTCAATGGGCATCCAGCTGGTACTGATTATGAAGACGAAGAAGAGGATAACGATGAACTTGCATCAAGAGGCTGTACCCCTGAGGATGAGGCATCTTGATGTTAATGTCTAGATGCTTGCTTTATGTGTTTGTGCTTGTTTATGTCTTCCTGATAAGATCTCTTGGAGTTATTGCGCCTTTGTGTAGGCTGCATCTGAGGTCTCATATAAGCGGTGCGAGGCTGGAACTCGAAGGGTAGTTCAAATTACTGAGTGTTTTGGATCACGAATTGCTCCTTGAGTGGCATTGCTCTTCTGGCGAAGGAGCACTCTTTTTGTCGGGTGGACGATGATGCATCTTCGCAAGTCCTGTGATGGAGCTTTTTCTAAAGGATGTTGTAATATTCTCAATTATGGAGGAGCTGTTATGGCTCCTTCGTGGAGGAATGTTGGTAGGTAGCATCGTAATTTTGGTGAAGTTAATCGTGTATGTAGTATTATTTGCTTGCCTCTGTAACCGGCAAGTTGCCCATCAGCTGGTGGTTGGCTTGCTTGAATTGGAAGTGTCGCTCAAATTCTCAAAGTTTTATATGTTGGGTTATTGTTTTAGCACATTAATGGAGTGGTTCTGTTGAATACAAATTAGGAGTTTATCATAAAATATAATAACTACATAACAAAATTCAACTTTAAATGAAATTAAAAGTCAATAACATAGGACTCAAATCGTACAGCTACACAAGAAAAGCTCGACGCATATAATTTATAAACAACACAGATATCTTGTTAATATATGTCACCAACACATTGTTCCGCCACTCATTCCTCATCTGGTTTCGAAGATCATTCTTGATATATTTCATAAATGAAAATGATATCTCTACACATGTAATCAATGTTCAAGAACGTGCTAGGCGCTACACAGGGGTTGAGGTCTTACCTCACCTAGGACGTAGGGGTTTTTTGTGATCACTTGCATCAATTAGGGAAGAACTATGAAGCTTTAAAGGTCGTTTGGATTAGAGATTTTAATAACGAGGGATTCGAATCAAAATCTCTAGTTTAAAATAACAGAGAATTTGTGTGCAGCGTTTAGCTAAAATAACTCGTTTGGATTGTGACGCAGAATTTTAATGTTAAGTTCAAAATTACATTAGCGTCCTCCTCTTATACCCTTTCTTCGATCAAAGAAAGAACTGACGGCAGATGCGGAAGAACAATGAAAATCAACGAATAACAAAGTGCCCTACCCAGAACCCTGCTTCTTCCACTTTGTTCTTGATAAGCTTTTATCCCCTTCATTCTTCATCTGGCAAAATCAAGCCGCAACAAGCCACTGATGTAAACGGATCTGGAACTACTCCGTCACTCTCATCTTCTTCCTCTCGATATCTTCCTCCTAAGCCCTGAAATTGGGGGTCGCCGATAACTTGGCGACAAACCGGGATCTTAGGGTTCGCCGATGAGTGTGGGAGGAATCTTGCAGATGCTGGCGACGGATGTGGAGAGGAGAGAAGAAGAAGTGGAAGAGATGAGGATAGCATCTGCAACCCATAATCCTACAAGCCAAATCGACAAAACAAGAAACCAGATCTCCAAAATTGATTTATCCCAATTTATGCCCTTCTCTCTTCCATCCATCCGTGATTGATTCCACCACTAGTCACCACCACCATCGTCTCCTTCACTTTGTTCTGTTTGATGGTATAGCTAATAGAGAATTAAACGATTTAGTAGCGGTGGAGCAGAGAAGAAGTGGAAGCAGGCGCCGCCGTCGCCGCTCCAAGCATCTAAAAAATCCATACCCACCTAGGACGTAGGGGTTTTTGGTGATCACTTGCATCAATTAGGGAAGAACTATGAAGCTTTAGAGGTCGTTTGGATTAGAGATTTTAATAACGAGGGATTTGAATCAAAATCTCTAGTTTAAAATAACAGAGAATTTGTGTGCAGCATTTAGCTAAAATAACTCGTTTGGATTGTGACGCAGAAATTTAATGTTAAGTTCAAAATTACATTAGTGTCCTCCTCTTATACCCTTTCTTCGATCAAAGAAAGAACTGACGGCAGATGCGGAAGAACAATGAAAATCAACGAATAACAAAGTGCCCTACCCAGAACCCTGCTTCTTCCACTTTGTTCTTGATAAGCTTTTATACCCTTCATTCTTCTTCTGGCAAAATCAAGCCGCAACAAGCCACTGATGTAAACGGATCTGGAACTGCTCCGTCACTCTCATCTTCTTCCTCTCGATATCTTCCTCCTAAGCCCTGAAATTGGGGGTCGCCGATAACTTGGCGACAAACCGGGATCTTAGGGTTCGCCGATGAGTGTGGGAGGAATCTTGCAGATGCTGGCGACGGATGTGGAGAGGAGAGAAGAAGAAGTGGAAGAGATGAGGATAGCATCTGCAATCCATAATCCTACAAGCCAAATCGACAAAACAAGAAACCAGATCTCCAAAATTGATTTATCCCAATTTATGACCTTCTCTCTTCCATCCATCCGTGATTGATTCCACCACTAGTCACCACCACCATCGTCTCCTTCACTTTGTTCTATTTGATGGTATAGCTAATAGAGAATTGAACGATTTAGTAGCAGTGGAGCAGAGAAGAAGTGGAAGCAGGCGCCGCCGTCGCCGCTCCAAGCATCTAAAAAATCCATACCCACCTAGGACGTAGGGGTTTTTGGTGATCACTTGCATCAATTAGGGAAGAACTATGAAGCTTTAGAGGTTGTTTGGATTAGAGATTTTAATAACGAGGGATTTGAATCAAAATCTCTAGTTTAAAATAACAGAGAATTTGTGTGCAGCATTTAGCTAAAATAACTCGTTTGGATTGTGACGCAGAATTTTAATGTTAAGTTTAAAATTACATTAGTGTCCTCCTCTTATACCCTTTCTTCGATCAAAGAAAGAACTGACGGCAGATGCGGAAGAACAATGAAAATCAACGAATAACAAAGTGCCCTACCCAGAACCCTGCTTCTTCCACTTTGTTCTTGATAAGCTTTTATCCCCTTCATTCTTCTTCTGGCAAAATCAAGCCGCAACAAGCCATTGATGTAAACGGATCTGGAACTGCTCCGTCACTCTCATCTTCTTCCTCTCGATATCTTCCTCCTAAGCCCTGAAATTGGGGGTCGCCGATAACTTGGCGACAAACCGGGATCTTAGGGTTCGCCGATGAGTGTGGGAGGAATCTTGCAGAAGCTGGCGACGGATGTGGAGAGGAGTGAAGAAGAAGTGTAAGAGATGAGGATAGCATCTGCAACCCATAATCCTACAAGCCAAATCGACAAAACAAGAAACCAGATCTCCAAAATTGATTTATCCCAATTTATGCCCTTCTCTCTTCCATCCATCCGTGATTGATTCCACCACTAGTCACCACCACCATCGTCTCCTTCACTTTGTTATGTTTGATGGTATAGCTAATAGAGAATTGAACGATTTAGTAGCGGTGGAGCAGAGAAGAAGTGGAAGCAGGCGCCGCCGTCGCCGCTCCAAGCATCTAAAAAATCCATACCCACCTAGGACGTAGGGGATTTTGGTGATCACTTGCATCAATTAGGGAAGAACTATGAAGCTTTAGAGGTCGTTTGGATTAGAGATTTTAATAACGAGGGATTTGAATCAAAATCTCTAGTTTAAAAATACAGAGAATTTGTGAGCAGCATTTAGCTAAAATAACTCGTTTGGATTGTGACGCAGAATTTTAATGTTAAGTTCAAAATTACATTAGTGTCCTCCTCTTATACCCTTTCTTCGATCAAAGAAAGAACTGACGGCAGATGCGGAAGAACAATGAAAATCAACGAATAACAAAGTGCCCTACCCAGAACCCTGCTTCTTCCACTTTGTTCTTGATAAGCTTTTATCCCCTTCATTCTTCTTCTGGCAAAATCAAGCCGCAACAAGCCACTGATGTAAACGGATCTGGAACTGCTCCGTCACTCTCATCTTCTTCCTCTCGATATCTTCCTCCTAAGCCCTGAAATTGGGGGTCACCGATAACTTGGCGACAAACCGGGATCTTAGGGTTCGCCGATGAGTGTGGGAGGAATCTTGCAGATGCTGGCGACTGATGTGGAGAGGAGAGAAGAAGAAGTGGAAGAAATGAGGATAGCATATGCAACCCATAATCCTACAAGCCAAATCGACAAAACAAGAAACCAGATCTCCAAGCATCTAAAAAATCCTACAAGCCGTCGCCACTCCAAGCATCTAAAAAATCCATACCCAACGCTGAAACGACGGATTTGCTTTTAAATCGAAACAGAATGGATATGGGCCTTGGTTTCCTTGTTCAGGATGAACGAGACTAGTCCACGACCGAAGTGATCAGGTTTTTGTTATTATTTCTTCACATCGGCAGTCCTCATTACAGTCATATATATAGTGTTCTCATCTAAACCCTATGCCTAATTACATCCGATACACATGTATAAAAGTGGGCTTCTTAATCAAGGCCCATAATCACTCAACAGCCTCTCCCAAATTGATGGAGGTCTCGCTTCATCAATTTGCAAGCAAAATAGGAGTGACGACTCACAGAAAACGCCTTGGTCAGAAGATCAACAATCTGATCCTCAGATGTAACATGATGAAACAAACTGTGCCTTTTCGTACAATATCACGAATATAATGAACATGTACCTCAATATGTTTGGTGCGATCATGTAGCACCAGATTAGCTGCAATCTTAATGGCACTAGTATTGTCTACATATAACTGCATAGGGCTCTCGCACGTAACGCCATGATCACCAAGTGACCGCACAAGCCACTCGAGTTTTGATGTGACATCAGACATGGCACGATACTCTGCCTCTATGTAAGACTTAGATACCCGATCCTACTTCTTGCACTTCCAAGAAATGAAAGAATCCCTTAGACGAACGCACCTGCCCGAAGTAGAGCGTCGAGTGTCAACATACCCGGCATAATCAAAATCTGAAAACGCCTGCAACATAAAACGACATGATGAAGGAAGAAATAAACCAACTCCTATAGTACCCTGTAAGTACCTCATGAGACGATGAACTGCTGCCAAGTGATCTGTACGTGGAGCTAACATGAACTTACTGACAATCTGAACTGCATAGGCAATGTCAGGTTGCATGGAAGTCAGATAAATAAGACTACCAACAATACTCCGATACTGCTTCCCCCTGTCTTCCAACAACTCTCCAGATTCACGGCCTAACTTCAAATTCATCTCCATAGGCATGGAAATAGGAACACACTCATCGAAACGAGCAGACTCCAAAATCCTCGATATACCTTCGTTGCCCAAGAAAGATGCCACCAGGTGTGCGGTGAACCTCAAGACTGAGGAAATAGGACAAAGGTCCAAGCTCCTTCAGATTAAAAGAATCATGAAGTCCACGAGTTAACTGCTCAATACCCAGCTCATCATCACCAGTAACTATCATGTCATCGACGTAAAGTAGCAGAATGACCATCCCACGAGGAGTAGATCGAGTAAACATGGACGGATCATTCAAGCTCTGCAGAAAACCCAAATCCAAGATAGTAGCATGAAACTTCTCGAACCAGGCACATGGAGCCTGCTTCAACCCATAGAGAGAACGACGCAACAAACACACCTGATTAGGAGTACCATAAGGATAACCAGGAGGACGCGCCATATGCACTATCTCCTTCAGCTCTCCGTAAAGAAACACATTCTTCACATCTAGCTAATACAGAGGCCACTGGCGAATAGATGCAACTGCCAGAAGAGAACGAACAATGACCATCTTGGCCACAGGAGCGAAAGTCTCCTCAAATCTACTCCGTACTACTGAGAAAAACCCTGGGCGATCACGCGAGCCTTGTGACGTTCAAGAGAACCGTCAGGGTTGAACTTAAGAGTGTACACCCCTCAAGAATCAATCACAGGTACTGGAGGAGGAGGGCGTGGACAAGATCCCAAGTATGATTGCCATGAAGAGCATCCATTTCCACATTCATAGCCCGATCCCAGTCAGGATCTCCCTAGGCCTGCAAAAAACGAGTAGGAATAGCAAGTGACTCAATCCCATAAGTAACAAAATCATTGAGCCGTTCAGGAGGCAGCCCTGAGTAGAACACAGTGATCGACGAGGAGGCGGAGGTGGCGGTGGTGGAGAAGGCGGCATTGGAGGAGAAGGAGGCGTCGGTGGAGTGGGTGGTGGGGAGAGACCGGCATCAAGGTCAACGGGGTCAATGGGAGCCAGGAAGTCCTCATCATGAGAAAAGGTGGATGGACCAAGAGAAGTGTCAAACGAAGGAGGAGAGGTAGACGAGGTGGAGTAGTACATGAGACCCTCAAAAAACACAACATTGCAAGAGATGTGGAGTCGCTGATGGATGGGGTCAAAAAACAAGTAACCCTTGTGGACATCACTGTACCCGAGGAAGACACAACGAGATGTTTTAGAGATGATCTTCAAACGCTCAGAACGAGGGAGAAGAACAAAACATGTGCAACCAAAGTCACGAAGATGGGAATATGGAGGATGAGTAGAAAATAACCGGAAATAGGGACTCGACTGATCAAGGACTGAAGTCATCTGATAGTTGATGAGATGGACAGCAGTAGACACAGTTTCAGGCCAGAAGAAAGATGGGACATGGGACGCAAGGAGGAGAGCACGAGTGACCTCAACGACATGCTGATTTTTGCGTTCAACAAGACCATTCTGTTGGGACACACCGGGACAAGACTTCTGTGAGAGGATACCTAGAGACTTATATAGAGTAAGAAGGGGAGTGGAACAGAACTCGCCACCTTCATCAGAACAAATGACACGCACTGTTTTAGAAAATTGAGTCTCAATCATTTTAAGAAATTCAGTGGCAATGGCAAGGAGATCATATTTATGACACAAAAAATAGACCCAAGTATATATAGTCGCATGATCCACAAACAAAGCAAAGTATTTATAGCCATGGCAAGAGGTGACAGGGCTAGGACCCCAAAGATCACTATGAACAAGCTGAAAGGGTTCATAAATGACAGTTTGACTAGAAGGAAAAGAAATCCGAGTAGTTTTGGCTTCAACAGCTTAAACAAGAGAAATTCGATGAACAGACCGCCATAGGATTATTACCAAACAATTGCTGTATAAACATAAGAGCTAGCCGACTAGAGTTTGGGTGTCCCAAACGAGCATTCCACAAATGAAATTTCTGTTCAGAAAGACTCGAAAAAACAGGCAACGACGTGACCCTAGACACTGACGGAGAAGAGAAAGACCTGGACACTGAGGGTAAATCCGACAATGATGATGATAGAGACTTGGTAGGCGGCTCCAGATGCTCCAGGTAGAAAATGCGACCCCGCTTTTGTCCTTTACTGATCTCCGTCCCCGTTTTCAGGTCCAGAATAACACAACCAGAAGGTGCAAACACAACACGACAATTTTGGGTCCACCAAGAGGGACCGATGTCGATGTGGCCTTGGTCTGGCAAAGAGACACTGCAAATGGGTCCTTGCCAAGCAGCTCCTCGAAGTTTGGTGGAGATATCAAATGTAACATAGGGCCGGTGCAAGCCTCTTCCACCTCAACTTCATCCTCAGCCTGGACGCCAATTGCTTCCTCAACCCCCCTTTCTTCTTCAAAATGTGGTCTCTCCCCTGGGAAAAGATCAAGAACCACCTCTTCTTTTCTTTCTTCCTCATCATCCACATCTTCCTTCCTCATCCTTGCTCGCTCTTCTTCTTCTAGAACAGATTGGAGAGCAAGTCGCCAAGCAATTTCTTCAATGGGATCATCTTGCATCTCCTCGCACGGGCCCAGCATGTTAGAGCATAAATGAGGAAAGGTGTGGTCTGCGACCAAAGGACTTTCCTGATCATGATTATCATGGGGGTTCTCTGTGATAACTTCTGTATGCTCCTCGACGCTCCCATAGCCTTTGTCATCCTCCACCTCTTCTAGCGTGGTAGCAGAAAGGTGATCTTGGGCAAGATGCGAGCAAACTTGCTTCACCCACTCTGTTTGCTTCGCCGAGCGCTGAACAGTCTCCTCCATATCATGGAGAAATGAGGGATCGGAAGTGGCAAGGGCTTTGATTTGAAGATCCATCTTAGAGCATGATTTCTTAGTGTCTCGAGCAAACTGCTCCACGAGAAGCCTTAATTGTTCGTTCGGATCCTCCAGTGAAGTGTAGCATGGCTCTGCAGAGTGGCCCGTGAAGGCCGCCATGGGTAACTCCAGCTCCGATGGCCCTTCTGGTTGTGGGAGAAAGTCTTCTTGGTAATGAGGTTGTTCTTGATATGCCTAGGGGTCTGATTGTTCTCCGTAGTAAGGGGGTTGGTACTGGAACCCGAATCCATAGTCTTCCCCTCCTTGATTGCTGTAGGGAGTCGCGGGGTAATACCACCCGGGTGATGGTGGATACCCCCAATGATTGGAGAAGCCATTAGGATCCATGATTCAGATCTGCACCAACAAAACAAAAACACCCAAGTGAAAAGCAAGGGTGGAAAAGAAAAGAAAAGAAAAACGCTAAAGTAACAAACTTCTGCCTTTCCTAATACTCTAGAAAGCCCCGGCAACGGCACCAAAAACTTGACACGCTAAAACACAACACCTAACAATGGCCAAGTGTAACCAATGAAAGGGACTGCAGTATAGTGGCACAAGTAATAAATATGGAATCCACGGGTCTCTAGAGTTACTATTACTCAGCTTCAGTTCATTATCTAGCAAACTAGATTAAGGAGTGATTTACTAAACTACTCTACTAACTACTCTACTAATTACAAGTTGGGAACTCACTTTGGTATGATTCCCCCTAGCTCCTCAATTAGGTCCAAGTTGCAATTACCTTTGGTTGATCTACTGTTGATTAAACTGCGGAAGATCCTAAATTAGCTTGGAATCTCTTAAGCTGACCAAGCCCTCTCAGACAGAATACCCGGCAGGCGACTAGCCTTCACCGAGATAGACTGCTAAGGCGATTCACACAGATCTCCACTAGTGGAATGAATTCCAGTACAAAGCAGTGAATTGATTGACTCTCGCACAACCAATTCACCACTATCAATCAAGGAAGCTCTCTTAACCTAATCAGATTCTATCTATCATAGGTTAAAGCAGAAATCAAGAGAATTTGATCAAGATTCAATTGACTCAATAAATCATGCTTCAATCGATTATAATCAAACAATATAGCATCCAAAACTTCATACAAGAAAGATCCTAACTCGTGGAACTAGGGTTCCTCAAAACCTAAGTGAAGGGAAGTTACTCCATAGAGAAGAGAGAGACTGCAGAAATCTGATCTAGATCTTCAATCTCCATCTCCAAGCTTGATTCCCGAGCTCCAATGGCGAAGAAATCCTCCAAAATAGCTCCAAGAATGTTCCCAAGTCGCTCTCTCTCTCTAAGGTTCGTCCCTTGGGTGTTTGGGATCCAAAACCCAGCTCTCCCCCTTTCCTTTTGCTGAAAATCGGGTTTTAAACAGCAATTCCCGACTCACACGGCCAGGCCACACGGCCGTGTGGCTTTCCCAGATGCCCGTGTGAAGGCTCGGTGATTTCCACACGGCCACATGGCCAGGTCACACGGCCGTGTGGGTTGTGCCCGTGTGGCTTGCTCAGCCTCTGTTTAATGCTTCGTTTCTCCCTCGTCCGGACTCCGAATCAGTCGCCGTTTGATCCCAGACGCTCGTAGTCTCGTGCTCTTTCTTTTCATGACAAGCTTGCATAATTCTTTGTCCATAAAGTAAGGTAGAAATCCATTCTTCTTCAGGTCATACCCGAGTTTCTTCTCCCGAATCGTCAATTGATCTCAGATTGACTTGAAACTTGCGCCTATGCTTCACTTTATGTGCTAGGACCTGAAATGTGACAAAGGAACACAACCTAGCGTAAAATATGCCAAAGACACGATAATTCAAGCTCAAACAATCAAGAAACAAAGGGGAAAACATGTGCAAATACCGAGTCATCAGCAGGCTAAGTAGCATATGATGGAGGTGGGCGGCGCTGAGAGGGACTAGCTCCTGAGGCTCCAGGTTTGGCGAAAGCACTCCCCTCAAGAATGCGATCCTGCAAAACTCGACAATCGGGGATGATATGACCCGATTTCTTACAATAAACACAAATTTTTATGTTTTCGACTATATTTCTAGATATGTCCCTTGACTCGGAAGAAATGGCATTCAACAGTCCCAGACGGGATGCGCCAGTGAAACTGAGGACGCTGGGCAGCAAAGGCGTCGCCGGCAGGTCCATCATCGGAGGCAGTAGCAGCTGGGCGGGGGATTGGAGGCTCAGAATGCGACTACGCTGGTGGAGACCTGCCTTTGATGTGTCCTGTAGCAATGAACGCGACCTCGCCACTGCCTGGGAGAGCATCCAGCGAGGCCTGTGTACGAATTCGGGTCTCCTCCCGAATCAAGGCCCCCAACACATCCGCAATCTTCAAGTCGTCGCGGTTAAGGAGAGTGGCTCAGACTGGTTCAAATGAGGGATTGAGCCACGCCATAAACTAAAGTAGACGATGATCAAGAGCGGCGCGTACCTCGGCGGAAGGTGCGGGTGTCATCAAGGAATAAGCGACGAGATCCTGCTCGTTCCACAGCTGGCGGGCAGCATTGTAATAGCTTGCAATATCCTTGTCGCCTTGATGTAAGGCAGCTAACTCCACTTCAATTTCAAACTGGCGAGCTGCACTAACAGTGGCATAAGTCTCTGCAAGGTACTTCCACATGGTTGTTGCAGTCGGCAACATACGTAGACCAAGACAATTGTGGGATCGACGGAATTGAGGAGCGTTGATTTCACCTTTGCGTCACTAGACACCCAGGACGAAATTTCTTGAGCTGATGCGGGTGGAACAATCGGCTTTTGGGAGGATCCATCAAGCCAACCGATCAATCCCTTCCCTTCGATGAAGATATGAAGCTGGAATTCCCAAAGAGCGTAATTTTTTTATTTGAGACGTGCAGAGATGTGATCGGAATCCATAGCGGTAGGCTCTGATACCATGTAAATCGAAATAGAACTGATACGGATTAGAAACGAAGTCGACATAGAGATTTATGTGGTTTCCTCATTCAGGATGAACGAGACAAGTCCACGGCCGAAGCGATTAGGTTTTTGTTATTAATTCCTCACGTCGGCAGCCCTCATTACATTCATATATATAGGGTTCCCATCTAAACCCTATGTTACATCCCATACACATGTACAAAAGTGGGCTTCTTAATCAAGGCCCATAATCACTCAACATTGCTCGATTCCCAGAAATCGCAACCTTCGCCAATATGAGGAAGGCTATGAGAGTTGAAAGGAGCGGAGGTTTTGGGAAGGGACAACATGATGGGAGATTACAACGATTGGATTCGGCGATTGAGAAGAAACAGAGTGGAGGAGATGTCGGATTCGCCAGAGGAAGATAAGAGAGGGGAGAGACGGACTCGAGTCGGAAAAGTAAGGGATAGTTACGGAAAAGAATTAAAAATAATGATGGATTGTGAAATAGCTTATGGTCATCAGCTATTTCCAAAATCCACATTGAAGAGATTTTAAAATTCCTAATCCTGAAACCTCTCATCTATCCAAACGAGGGACTGTTTTAAAATACTTCATAATGAAAGATTGTTTTAGAATTTCTCACAAATTTCTCACTACTATTCTATTCACTTTTTCAGGAAGATTATAGAGCAAGTGACATAATCTCATTCGTACCATCTCAAATGCTTCACCTGGATCAACTACTTGCTTGTTATTCTTCAGGAATCTGCTCAAAAGACTCTTCGATTAACCCGAAGAGAATATATCTTTTAATAGAAGAACGAGACTTTTTCCTTCTTTAGTTTTCTAAGAAAAAAGGGGAGCAATTTGGCAACGGCTTTACATAAGACGACAGTGAAGAGTAAGAAAGGTTGGGCAGACCGAAGTTAGATACAAATGGAAGAGGAACTTAAGTAGTACATATGGCAACGTGGTTTTGGTTGTTTAGCAGTCAATGGTGGAAAATAATAGGGCATAGCATCTAGTCGACCAAAGCTGAAGATGAGATGCATTCCAGTCGGAGACGTTGAATTTTGGGGCATGGGACAAATCGCCGCAATTACGAGAACTCTATTGACCTTTATTTTATTCCAATCAAGGAAGGAGGCATGTGTAAGACAAGTCGTTGGGAGGAACTAATCAAATATGAGGATGACATTGTTTTGGAATATTTTAATACATTTTTTATCTTTTGTCGCCAGATCGCATAGCTGATAACGCGTCTAACTTTGCCTAAGCTAGACCTAGGCGGCGCCTAGACATTTGAACGCCTAATTGTCTGCCTAGACCCTAGGCACGTATACAAAGAATAAGTGTCAACTTGAAAAGCAAATAAAGATATGGATACAATTTATGCTTATTTGATTCCACTACTTATTTCTAACTCATGAACCCATTCTAAGCATCTGTGCATTCATATAGGTTGCATTAGTTTCTCCTGTCAAAAGTGACCAATGAATTATGTGGATCCAACGTAATAACAACTAACAATTGAACTCATACAAACAAATATTAATCTCTTGCAACCAGGGGTAAAGATGAGATTTGAGGACCGAAGGCTGACATGAACTATGACTTTATTAAAAACATAAAGATAAATTAATATATTTTATTTGGGCTAATATCACCTTAACTATTCAAAAATATCGTGAGTTGTTGATGTCGTGGTTTTTGCCGACGTCAGATTCCTTGCTACAGGCATCGAGAGAGGTTTCAAGTCACCTTACATCGTGATCTTTGCTCGTGACGCCGACTCTCACCACCTCCTGTAAAAGGTCAACCGGTCGGTCTTGGCGAGGACACCCTCCGACACTCAAGTCAGTATTGAGTGGTAACTTGACGGAAAGAATGAAGCTAAGGACTTAGTGTAGGAGAGGAGGGTTTGGACGAGCGGTAGTATCGGTTGCTAATAGTAGCAGACTCTCAAAGGGGGCTCGCTAAGACCCTTTTTGCTTACATTTTTTGGAAGGTGAAAGGTACTTTTTATAATGGCCGTTCGGGGGACAGTAGAGGACACACGACAGTGCTTGGGTGAAGGCCTGACGAATCACCATGGAGATGTCATCGCCTCAAGATTATGCTCGCCTCGAGTCTTATGCCTCCGTGCAAGGTCTTGGCGCTCACGCCATATGGCAAGACAATGCCCAACAAGGTTACCGCGTAAGGGAGGAGGTTGGAGCAAATACAATAGGTGAGCGCCATGAGAGCCAGTGAGGGTCGTCGTCAGTGAGCGTGCGTACCGGCGAAGGTCACACTCTGGGGGAGCTGATTCGGGAGAGCGTAAGGTTTGGGCGTGAGAGTGAGCGCGTGGACGGTCTCGATCCCAGGGTGAATCCTCGGTTGCGAGAGTGGTGAATCGCGCTTTATTTTGGTAGGTGAAGGTGAACGGTTCCGCCTTGAGGGGATGCCTCCTATAGTGTCTCGTCTAAGGCATTGTATTTGGAGACCCGTTCCTGAAGTTCCATCATATTTCGAGGGTGTCGTTTTATGAGTAATGCCTTGAGGAGGGCATTGCTTTTTCCAAAGGTAAGGGCATGGGTCACATTTTTCGTGGTGAGGTTGGTAACCCTGGAAAAATTTGTTAAATCTGGCATAATTTTCCTTATGGGTCTCGTGCTCCCCCTGCTTTGTACTCATAAGATGAGAGATGTCTACATTTTGTCTCTTTTGGGCGAAGAACTTAGCCCTAAAGAGAGTGGCGAGCTCCTCAAAATTGGTGATCAAGCCATTACGCAAATGGGTATACCACTGAAATGCTACCCCTGTTACACATGGTAGCATATAATGCTCTTACGAATGGCATTAGGATCTGGAAAGCGCTAAGGTGATCCTCCGGAGCTGAGGTCCCGTAGTACTCTGGGAGATGATGAGGCAGTTGGAAATTAAGAGTATTAGGTTGTTTTAAAATGAGCGAGTGACTTCCCGTACCCAGGATCTCCGAGGTACCCCAGTGTGAGGTGCACCTCGGGGTAAGGGAGATCCTCTGGTCGCGGAGGATGTTGTGCCGCTGACATACCTTTGGAGTTGGCCGACGCTCCAGAGGTCTGGGGGTGACTAGAGCTAGCGTGATGCCCGGTTGGTGGAGGAGGAGCCGATGTCAATGTATGAATCTGAGCTTTTAAGTAGCTCAATCTGGGGTTGCAAGTCTTCGAGGGAGGGTTGGGTGACATGCTCCTTTTCCTGACCGCCTCAGCTTCAGGATGAGGGGAGTTATGGGAATTCAGCACGAGTCAAATGTCAGCATCAGGCAATGTAGTAAAAAACGCGTCTTAAAACGCTTCAGTTTCTAAAAATGTATTGTGTGCAAAAAAAAAATTAACAAAACGGTCAGAAATCCTAAAAACGGTCAAAATGTGTTTCTAGTCCATTTTTTGTACGTTTCCAGTTGAAGGAGATTCATCCAAATTTCACTCCCTCTCTGTCCAATATTATCTCCATAGCCTCCATTGAAGGCACCCGACATGCTTCTTTCGGAACATAATTGAAATCGACTTGCGCCGAAACCTGAGTGTTGACCACGGTGGATCTTAGTATATGCTCCTCTTCCAACTTTTGTTTAAGGTCAACAACCATAGTTATGGCTTCAATGGTCAAGCTCACACATCCCCAATCTTCTTCAGGGTCCACTTCAAATGGCGTTGGGGGTAGGTCAGCATTCGACTCATGTCCTTGTCATCATTTCTCCTGGCAAACTCATTCAACATTCTCCACTCCACCAAGCCTTGTATCTCTGTCTTCAACTGTTAGGAGTCTATTGTGTGGTGCCCCTTTTCCTGACGAAAATCACAATATCTTTCCAAGTTACGTTCATTTAGTTGCCCCCTAATCGAGCACGGCCATCGAATGTGATACTCGTCCTTTATGAACTGCAACACATTCTCAGGGAATCAATTAGCTCGGTGAACCCTGACGTCCCTTGGACTGCTGCACTGGGCTTGCATGTGTTGTCTTTGTATTGGAAAATTAGTCATAGTAGGGCACACTGATATACCACCTTTCACCTCTTCCATCATATTCTTCCGCTTGTTTTTGCGATATGCTACTAGGTTCTCTTCTAACATGATTATCTTCTAAATACTCCGATCCAAATCCTCGATGGTGGTAGCATCTATTTTCTATAAAGCCCAACACAACCCCTCACTTTTCATGCATTCCTCTAAACAACATTCTAATAACGATGACATCACGTCTTTCACCGCCATGGCCACTAAGATCCATTGCTCATAAAAATCCCACTAGACAAAAACATGGCCGCAAATTTCTCCAATAGTCTATCCGTTCTGATACTAGCACGGAACCGGTACCTGTATTTATCAAAGTCACGCAACTTCAAGAACGAATAAGAAAAGGGATTTTTTTAGGTTTTTGTTTGGCATATGATGGAATTGAAAGTGCAATCCCAACACAAAGATGGCAGATGACTCTAACAATATAGAGGATAGAATCTCGACCACGATCAAGGAGGAAACTTGATTGATACAGAAAAAAAATTCATAAGTTTAAAGCTTAATGAACTAAGATAAAAATCAATATTCTTCAAAAACTAACTACAAAACTCGGTTTTAAGCCCTTTATATAGGCCAGAGCAAAACAAATTAAACATAACACGGAAAATTGGCATGCCCGATCCCTGGTCGGCCCCTCCAAGTCCCTGGTCGGAGGTTCTTGTTCGCTTGAACATGGGTCTCTTTGATCCCAATCCCCGGTCTTCCTTTCCATTCCTCGGTCGGAGAATTGGCATGCCTTCCTTTCCCGGGTTGCTACTAATTCCCTGTTCATCTCTTGCTTCCCCGGTCAGCGATTTGACCCTGTGACCGGGGGCGCCACTCTGGGCCCGTATCAGCCATTCTTCGATTTGATTGTACCAATCCAAGACTACCCAATGTAAGTGGAGGAAAACGCATGACACTGAGAAACGTCTGAGTTGTTATATAGTTTCATGTTGGTGAAATAGTTGTTAAGGTGATCATTAGGGTCAGTGTTTCCATCATGGTTCGTTAATGAAGTGATCACATCCCAACTGACTCAGCCAATACACTTCACACCAATGGTTGCCTTACACCAAAGTGTCTCGTTGTTCGGTGTGAAAGCCACCCATTGTGCTCATCAAAATCCAATGCTAAATGATTCTTTAAGTGTCCCAACGTATTTTGTTGTTTCATCTGACTAGACACCTCCTATTCGTCACCCGCCCTTCCCTTCATTTTAGATTACGGACTAGGTGTCACTATCCCCTCTACCTCCTTTCCTCAACACCTCATTTGTCTGATCTTGGTCTATAATTATCTTAATGAGATCCTTCTTGGTGACTAATGGACCAACCAACTTGGAGCGCTCAGGCGTTGCCCAATTTTCGCTTCCCTGATTTGACATTTGCGCCTTTGATTCATGCCCTGACTCGGTTTAGAGTGCGGCTCATCTCTCTTAACTTTCTTCACATGATTTTTCATGTAGTTTAGGTTCGTTTCCCCTTCCTGGAGCGCCCATTATTTAAGCCTCAATCCTGGATGTAGGCTCCCACTCCTATGCGTTGAACATCATAGCACGGTTTCGTGGGCGTATTGTCAGGTCATGTTGTGTTTTGTGATCAATTAGACTCTGTAGCTGAGCTCCCTGCACGTACACGCTATCTACTTGGGCTCTCTAGTATGGACCTTTCTGAACATATCCAAAACCAAGCCACAAAATTGGAGCCATAAGAGAAAAATCAACCCTCTTTACAAAGCTCAATTTTGTGTGAGTCAAAAACCATGTTCATGATTCATTGAAACAAAAGCTTCAACCCAACTCATCAACCCTAGGTAGCTGATCCTCGTTGAAAAAATCCAAAATTACCATTGTTTTAAAAAAAATTACAAAAATACCACCCATTCCAAAGAATTTCCAAATCTACCATTGTTTATTAAAACCCGCTCCACTGCGATTTACCAAGGAACTGCTTGGTAGACAAGTGGTTTGTGTTTTTTGGGAAAAATGCTCTTCGAACGAGCGGTTTTCATGGTTGTCCTAGCACAAACCGCGTCCTCTGTGAGTTGTTATGTGTCGGCAAGGTAAAACGACCACAAGGTACATATTATTTATCATCAACACCTTCAAGAGGATCGAAGTTGTCTGCATTGACATCGCCTTCCTCTTCTCAACCAGGGTCACTAACTGGACTTGGATTGACCTCTTCTTCCATCATCATGAAAGGCACCTTCACCTTCACCAGCTCCGTAATGGTAGGAGAAAGCAAACCCTAAAAAGAAGAAAGCAAACCAGGCAATCGAGAATGGGAGGAGAATGAAAAAGGTTAACCAGTGATGCAGCTGCATGTTTGATTGAATTACGAGAAACAAGAACAACAAGGCTCTCGCCATGCCCCGAGCGTTATTTTTAGTTTCCTTTTCAATTTTACAGAAATTGTTAGACTCGGAATGAAATCTATTTTTTCAATTATTAGAATTATTATTTTTTTATGTGAAATCAAAAATAGCATTAAGACCAGGCCACTTGCAGAGAAAAACCCTGCAGCGCCTCTCAAACGTTTACAACGCAAAGGACAAAACCTTACAATCCTCTCATATCTATATATTTACTGAATCCTATCTAATTCTATCTGTAGGGCAGGATCTTCATATACTCGGTAGGTAACTTCCTCACGTATCAACTTCACCAACATAGTAGGATCCCTGATTACCTTAGTCCCATACATTCGAGAGCACCTCTCACGCCATATGTAGCTCACAGCAGTACACCACAACACTCTGCAAAGTCTCGATCGAGCAGCCTTCTTCTTCCATTCCCTTGCACACCAAGCAACTGTTGCTTCCCAGTCTCCTACATCTGGTGGAGAAAGACTTTTCATACAAAGCTTCAAAACAGAAAGTGAATAAGAACAATAAATCAGTAAATGATCCCTGCTCTCTACACCCCCTGGATACAAAACACAGCAACCAGAGACATTTTTTCCCCAGGCCAAGAGTTTATCCTGAGTAACCAATCTCTCATGGATAGCAAGCCACAGAATCAGTCCATGCTTAGGAATAATTTCCTTTGCCCAGACTAATCTCCACCACTGCACTTCTGGTTTTTTCTCCCTGATATCATTCCATACCCTGGACACTGAGAACTGTTTCATTTGCTCCCCCTGCCACAGAGTATTGCTTCCATTCCCAGATACAAAAGGAGAGGCTATTGCCCTGCATTTCAACAGCCGTTTCCAAATCCATGTCCCAGCAGAACCAACTGAGAGTTCCCATATGCTTCTGCCTTTCAGTCTATACCTTGAAATCCATGCAACCCATATAGAACCCCCCAGAGTAAGAATCTCCCATAAATGTCTCAATACACATGCCTTGTTCCATACTCCAAAGTTCCTAATTCCAAGACCACCCTCCTTCTTAGGAATAGACAACTTATCCCAAGCCATAACTGCTCTCTTTCTACTGCCATCCTCAGCAGAATCCCACAAAAACTCATTACACAATCTTCCCACCTCCTTTATAACAAATTGAGGCAGTAAGAAGATATTGAGCTAGTATTGAAGAGCACTAGTGATGACAGTCGATATGAGTTGTATTTTGCCTGCATAGCTCAACAGTTTTGATCTCCAGCTTCTCAGTTTTTGTGTTATTTTATCCACCAGCACTTTACAATCTTGTCTAGTTAGTTTTCCTGTAATGAGTGGAACTCCCAAGTATCTCACAGGAAGTGTCCCTAGAGGGAATTCAGTAACTTCAGATATAGTAAGCATTTCTTCCTTTGGAATACCAGCACAGAAAAGCTGACATTTTGCTGGGTTGCACCTCAGACCAGATAGCTTATAAAAACTATCCATTAATCTTCTAATACCAGCAACCCCTCTTATTGACCCATTGGTAAACATCATCAAGTCATCCGCAAAACACAAATGGGATATCATAAGAGGTTTACAACGAGGATGATAAGGTATCTGGTTATCAACCATTGCTTTCTTAGTCAAACAATCTAGGGCTTCCATTGCAATTGTAAACAGGTAGGGGGATAATGGATCCCCCTGCCTTAATCCTTTTCCTGCCCTAATATTTCCACACAACCCTCCATTTACAGCAACTCTTATAGTTGGTGTGGTGACACAAGAAAAAATCAGTTTAAGAAATCCCTCTGGGAACCCCATTACCTCCATAATACTGAACAGAAACTTCTAGTTTACTGAGTCAAAAGCTTTCATTATGTCAATCTTCACCACACACCTAGGAGTAATATTCTTCCTATGATAGTCTCTAACCAATTCTGACACCAATAGAATATTGTCACTTATAGACCTCCCTTTAATGAAAGCTGATTGAGATCTACTTATCACACTTGGGAGCATTAGGGCCAGTCTATTAGCTAACAGTTTTGAAATACCCTTATATAAGGTGTTGCAACAAGCAATGGGACGATAGTCTTCATCTTTTCAGGAACTAGGAATTTTAGCTACCAGTGTAAATATTGTACTATTCACATTAGAGGGCATAAAACCAGTAGAAAAGAAAGAAAGGACTACCTCTTCAACTTCAGTTCCAATAAGAGACCAGTGTGCTTTGTAAAATTCAGCTGGAAACCCATCTGGCCCAGGAGCCTTATCCTTACCAAGGGAATGGAAAGTCTGCTTAATCTCTGCCCTTGTAATACCGCTCATCAATTCATTCTTGTCATCCTCAGACAGCCTCTGCTGGATTAGTCCTTGATAGTAAGACTCTTCCTTTGCCTCCACATTAGAATCCTCAACTCCAATTAACTGTTCATAAAACTCAACTTCAATCTTGCCAATGCTCTGCACATCAGTTTTAATTTCACCCTGTCATTCTGCATTCGAGCAATCTGCTGCCTTTGAGTTTTAACTTTTACAGTTTTATAAAAGTAAGCAGTATTCATGTCCCCTTCCTGTATAGCTTGAGTTCTTGCTTTCTGCCTATAATATTGTTCTTCTGCCTTTCTGAGTTCAAGATACTCTATACACAACTGTTTTTCCTTTGCCACTGATTCTGCATTGGGATTAAGTAAAACTTCATGTTGAGCAGATTCCAGAACAACTGCTGCAGCCTTCACTCTGTTGGAAATGTCTGAATAAACTGTTCTATTTAATCGCTTCAGAGCCTGCTTCACACTATGGAGCTTTCCATAAAAAATATATGAAGGATACCCCTCTACCTGCTTTTTCCAAGCTTGCTCTACAAGATTCATATAGTTAGGGTGAGCCTGCCAGAAGGTGAAGTATTTGAACGGCTTAGGAAGTGTTTTCAGTCCAGGCTCAGTATCCAATATCAACCCACAATGATCTGATATACCAGGAGGATTTGTGTAAGATGAACTTTCCTTATATTTCTCCAACCAGGCCTCATTTACCAAAATTCTGTCAATCCTTCGAGCTATAGGATTAGCCTGCTGCTTATTCCACCAAGTAAACCAGTTTCCTGATACCTTATGATCGATCAGTTCCATATCCCTAATCCAACCCCTAAAATCCTGCATACTCTGAGTAATCTCCTGCACATTTGAAGTTTCATTAATCTTAGCAATGGCGTTAAAATCCCCCATGAAAACCATAGGAATACTTGCATCTCTTCTAAGTAGTAACTCTTGATAAAGCCTATTCCTCTCCACCTCTTTATTTGGACTATAAACAAAAACTACTATGAAAGGTTCAATATCCTCTACCAGAAGCTGTAAATAATGCTCCCCTTCATTAATTCGAGTAACCTTCAGACCTGCCCTCCAGAAAATCCAAACTCTACCTGATTTAGAAGTATCATAGTTATCAGTATGTTGCCAAGCAGAAAACACACCTTCAATTATTTTCTTACTGTTCTCTTTAGTAACTCTAGTTTCCAGTAAACCTACAATATCTATTCTTCTCACCCTCAACTGCTCAAGAACAGCTGAGTGCTTGTCAGGGGAGTTGAATCCCCTGACATTCCAACTGAGTAATTTCATTAACCTCTCTTCCTCCCCCTACCTCTCCCTTTAGGAGGAGATGGAGGACAATTCAACACTGGCCTAGTCCCAATACTAGCACGATGCTGACTCCCTGAACTTCTAGCATTATAGTTTGGAATCTCTTTGCTGCCAGACCCAGTGCCAACCCATACCTTCTGCTTCTGCTTCCTGTTGACAACTAGAGTAAAACCATCCTTGTCCACTAATCCACTTCTTGGAGAAGGAGTTTGTGCCCCCATTGTGGTATCAATCTCTTTCCCTGCCCTGTGCTCTATCACAACATCAACAACCTCTTGCTCCTTATTCTGAGTAGCTAATCCCTCAGCCTCTGTATGCATGCTCGTACTCTTCACCACTTCTTGAATCCCTACTGATACCTGCTCAGTTGGAGCTTCACCTATCAACGGATTCTGCTTCACCCATACTTTCTGCGGTTCTTCTACTATCTTAGCACAACTATGCCCAAAACAGCCACACTTCTCACAAACCTTTGGCATATGACAGTACACCACATCAATAAAGAGCTCTGGCAATCCATCAGGTGTTACACTCAATTTCGTGATCTTCTTAGCTGTAGCCTTGACCTCTACACAGATTTGAGCAAAACCCACTTTATGACCCTGAGTAGTAGATATACCATACATAGCGGTTTCCCCAACGAACTAGCCACTCTTCCTAAGCCTTCCTTCGAGGTTAATTCCGTTGGCAGATTGGAGTGTTTAATCCACAACGGGAGTGCAGTGTTGTCGATCTTCAGAGGACTAATCCCAGGTTCCCACTTCCGAAGAAACAAGAGATTTTCCCTGTGATGCCAAGGCCCGTTTTCAAATACCCATTGACATATCTCAGCCGAGGGGAATTGAAACATCACCAGCCTTCTGCCCATCCAAGAAGCCTTGACCACACCCTCCTTGCCCCACAACCAGTTAGCCCAGTACCTTATCGAAGAAATCGAAGCCGGCCGATCAATAAATTGACCAACCAAACAATTCTCCCAACGCTTAGCCCCTTCCTCTACAACCTCCCGTGGAATCCGTAGCGAGCCATTCACGAACTCCGGCTCGTAGTAGTCAAGTCGATTATCCTCCGGGATTCCAAAAAGAGATGCCCATTGTCGACCGTCGCCAACGGCAGTCTCACCGTCAGCAACGGCCGCCATCGCGCGATTAGGGTTCAGAAAATCGGAGAGAGAAGAGAGAGAAAAAGAACTGATACTACTTTTTTTTTAATTATTAGAATTATTAAAACTCAAGTTACTGAATGCTTAATTACTGTTCCTTACGAAAAAACCGCATAGCCCAATTAATTAGAGAAAACACGGTTAATTAAGGAATTGTAAAAGAACCCAATTAATTACAGAAAGCACTGTTCATTAAGAAATGGTATTATGTGGTTGTGTCTAGCTTACTTCCTGTGGAGGGCTCTGGCGGCTAGCCAAGCTACCACCGAGATCCCTAGCTACGGCAGAGGGAACATTTTCAAACTTTAATTGTTTTGTCTCTTTTATAATAAGTAACCAATGAGGTAAGCTACTCTACCCACCAATTTAACATCACCCTGAATTCAAGTTAATTTTCATATTTAGATTTTATAATAATTTGTTGGGGAATGAACACGATAGTTATAAGGATGGACTTTGTAACAATAATAGTAAACTTTTGAAAAACATACAGATGAAGTCGTAAAGTCAGTTAGTTTTATATAATAGTTTAATCAAATATGATATTTTGTATAACTTAATTCATTGAGTAATGAATATTTATTAGCCAAATCTTTTTCGGATTCTTCTTAACTAGCCAAATCTATCAAAATACAAAGAATTAACCAAATGGTTTGTAATACATCAAAGTAATAGCCATTAGTCTATTATCATGAACTAGTTCTTAACGGTGCTCCACCTCAGCATCGAGCTCAGCTGCCACCTCATCAATGAATAAACTAAGAATGGCTAAACAATAATTATTAGCCAAATTTTTCTCGCATTCTTTTCTATTAGCCAAACCAATTGAATTACTAATAATATAATTGGCCAAAACTTTTGTAATGCATCAAAAAGATTAGTCATTTTCCTTTATCGTTAATAATTTTCTAACTCTTTTCTTAGTTAAAATACTAAAATTTTGGAATGTTGATCTTCATGTGTCTCTTCCAAGTCAGTATCATGTTGCCAAGTCTTTACTAACAAAATTGCTAAGTGGAAGTTAACATTTGGCTAATTTATTAGTAATTCAATAGGTGTGGCTAATAAAAAAAAATAAGGAAAAGATGATCAATGGTTGACTAGCTGATGTGATCTTTACTGCCACATCAGAATATTCTTTCCAACTTAGCGCCAAGTTTGACAACTCACCATCATCAAACGAAAAAGTTAATATAGAGTTATCGTTGGCTAATTAATAGCATTTCAATAGGTTTGGCTAATAAAAAAGAATATGAAAAAAGATTTAGCTAATAAATAGTCATTACTCTAATTTATTTTATATCAACTACAATATTCACCCTCTCATCAATTTACATTGAGAAAAAATCTCATGTATAACTTTTAGATAATAATTAATCAATTATAATATTTTCTATAGCTTGATTTTATTGTTAGACCATATACTAATGAAAAAAAGAGTTGTTATGGTTTCAGAAGTTCCGAATCGACTCAAGAAGGCCCTGTAAATAAAGAAGAAAGAAGAGAAAAAAAGGAGTAATTGTTCTATATTAGTTACACTTATATCATATAAAAGTTATGGAGTTAGGTATTTCTTATATATTAATTAAAAAATACATTACTTAAGTCTTTTATACTTAATTAAAATTTTATATAGAAATAGTGATTCTTATGTATCAATTAAATAAATATTTTTTTCTTTGTTGTTTGCCTCACTATTCGAACCAAAGGTTTGGTGGATGTTCAACCCCACATTATCAATAGACCAGCCCCTTGATGTTAATTAAGCAAACATATTACCTAAGTCTTAATATGTCTTTTCTAATATAAGTTTGAACGAATATTCCTTTATTATTAATAAACGGTTGACCATCAACTCACATTGCACAATTGTTTTAAGGTCATTGATTCTTTACATACCATTTTATCAAATGTGATACTTTTCATAATTAATTAATTATGTTACAATTAAATAAAATTTATTTATTATTCACTATAATATTCATCATCTCATCAATTGACATTATATAAAGGTTCTATAAGGTAAGTTAACTTTTACATAATAGTTTAATCAAATTTGATTTTTTTATTATTTAATTTTTTATTAGATCACACTTTACGGATGTTTTACGTAACAGTGTATTATAATAATAGCCATAAATTACTATACATTACGTAAAACTTATGAATGGATAATTATTTCTTATGAATTAAATAAATAAACAAACTATTTTGTGAATTATTTAATTTTAACAAATCATTAAATAAGTAGAGGAAGTTTTAAATAAACTTAGTTTCTTACCGCAACGAAGCGCAAGCCAAAAAACTAGTTCTAATAATATAGGAAGTAGTGAATAAGAACTTCATTTAGCGGTAATATTATTGATCTTCAAGATCCCAAAATGAAATCTTTGAAATTACGATGAACAATCAAAACAAACTTACATCACTTCATGAATCAATCTTTTCTTGCTGAATATGTGACCAACACAATTTCGAGGAAACCCAAGGGACATGCCCGGAGGTCTTAATGGCTACCTGTTCTCATTTGCCTTAAATAAACGAGAAGACAATCTCAAGAATATTTCGGTGAACATGCAAAAGAGAATTATGGCTCCTCTGATCAATCATACAGACGTATAAGCAAAACCAACAGTTTTTCACACCATACACCACTTCCGGGCAAGCAAGCAAAAGATAAGGAGAAAGAAGGGAACCAAATGACAGGCCGCCAAGATGCCAAGGGAAGGCCTTGGGAGGAGAACTGAAACGACAGAGTTGGAACAATATTTGCAGCGCAGCAACCACAAGCGGTTTTGCAAGACAAGGGTTGCATTACATATCACCAATTGGAAGAAGCTGAAAATCAGAGGGGGGCTGGCTGTCACGACAACAAACTGGATTCGCTCGTCTTGGCTACCGCAATAGCTTGAAATAGAGGATCACTAAGATGGCCAGAACCAAAGCTGCAATGATGCAACCAACCATCCACTTGTTCCTGTTCATCCTTCTCGACATTGCCGTCAATACCTTCTTACTCCTCCCAATGTTGTCATCTACCCCTTGCAGCTGCACATGATGTACACAAACCAGCCCAACCAATCCCGCATTCATTAAGCTTGTTTTGATACCATTCTCAAATGGGAACCTAATATTCGAGTGTCTCATCTTTTAAATAAATAAATAACAGAGAATAATGCTCATAATTCGAAGGAAATTATCAAGTAAACTGTTAGAATAGCAAAAATGCTATAACTGTTTTTTATTGTTTTGTTTCCTGTGTCGTGCATGTCAAGCCGAAGATCAGCAGCTGGTAGACACGAGCGGAACAGAACAAATGGGGTGGGAGAATGAATCGTACCGTGCCATGGGCATGCAGGAGAGCTTGACGTTGCTGATGCAGATCTTGAAGGATGGATACTCCAAGCTCTTCTGTTTCCAGCATTGTTCTTCTGCTGTCCTTAATTTTGTCGCTGGATTGATTAAGTCTCTCTGTCGACATCAATAGCCTTCCTCGTTGGTCTGTTGAAACCTGTTTCATCCTCAGAAATGTTTTACTACAAATAAATGTTAACATAAAGATAGCTCAAATCAGCACCACATAGCTTTCCCTATTGGTTATTGCTAATTGCAACTACATTACAACGCTATGCAAGTGTAAGCCCTTTTCAAAATGCACAATTCCTCCCAGCATTACAGAGAAGTTCTTATTATACTGGCATCACTCCCATTTTCAACACTCATTGGGCCTGGAGAATTTTAGTTGTCAACAGTACTTTCAGAATTGCCGACCATGGGATAAAAAGTATCAGTGTTAGAGTGAAACTATATGCTGCTGCTCTATATAAATCCTAATGTTGTATCAGTTTGATCCAGCATGGCACCAAATTCTTGTAGATATTTGGCGAGGACTTGGTTACTGAAGCTGGCTACAAGAACAGAGCTTGATAGGTGCAGCCTTGCATCACATTTCTGAATGTAACATCATTCTAGTGACAAGCAGTACATAATAGATCATAACAACACTCAGCATTGGTCTCTATGAAAATTCACTAAGCCTTCCTCATCCTTTTTAATTTCAGCAGATAAACAATAGTTGAATTAGGTGGGGCTCCAGATCTGAATGGCAACTCATAAAATAGAGAAAGCAAGAACGATTGACTTAGACTCAAGATGGCGCAATCTATACTGACTGATGTCGTGCAGAAACAGTATATAAAAAAGTGCATACCAGGTCAGAAAACAAGGAGGGAATAAATTTCCTGAACTGAAGTTTCACGAATCAAAAGGATACACGACAATAAGAAAATTTAAGAAACAAGGATACATACCATCTTTGTATCGGCAATTCCAGATTCCATCAATTCATCTCTGGCAGCCTGACTGACATTAGAAGATGAAATCCTCTTAACTTCATTCTTCAAATTGATTAGATCAGTTTTGTACTCTCGTATCTTAGCAAGAAGGGATCCCTTTATATTTGGTGGCAAGCTCCTTGCTTCCAAGTCCATTTTCCGAATCTGGAGAGATTTAGGTGAAGATCAGGCATTGAAACCAAGATACTAGCATTTGGGCTCATGAACATACACCTCTGGCTAATTTGATTTGATGTAAATTGGGTAAGGATAGAGCTATTAATATTACCAAGGCATCAGCATCATCCAATCCAGTTTTAATTTCAGCAACTTTCTGCTTCTTCTGCTCTGCAATTCCAGAATACACAACTCGTCATTGTAAGATAACCTAACAAACGAGAGAAAACTCCATTTGAGATAGAGTTACAGCACATTGATTTCATTTCCAGAGTCACATATTGCATGTCAAAGCACAAAAACAGATGACATCTTCGGCCTAATTTGGCAAAGTCATCAACAGCAGACCAACGATACAGGTTGCATGGAAGTTAAAGAAGAGCGATACGTTATGAAAATCTGCACCTATTCCAATTGCTTGGAAAATCAGGCTATAAAAATCATAGCTCTATACATTTTCAGAATGTTAAGAAATAGAGATTCACAAAATTGAATGCAGAAGCAGAACGCAGTCATGTGCAAGATGCTTCTAGACAAAGAGACTAAGGTTCGACTTCTAAAGAACGTCAAATTACCAGCAATTCCTTGATTCATTCACTGTGAAAATTTCTGGGGATATCTTGCATTCAACCGCATAAACATTAAAACGAATATAAGTAACTGAAGAAAACCGAATCAATCAACTTTATCGGTCATTCCCTTTTCATTCGCCTTCTTGTTTGTTTAACATCAATATATCATGCAAATCCGCACCCAATCCGCCAGCTTCGGATCTCACATTATTGACACAAAACTCCTATTCGATCCGAGAATGCTAGAGAGAGTTGATGCTTAGGACTGCACGCGTAAGCAAGATGCTCCATCATGAAGCACGAATTGTAGCGCTCGCGCAGATATGCTAATGCAAATCGCGAAACTGTGCTTTCTCGGGACAAAGACCAGGGTTCATTTCTCTAAAGAACACATACCCAATCATCAGGGAATTCTTGGTTCAAGCTTGGACACTAATCCCACAAAACCATAGAAAACAAATACTTAGAGGAATTCCATTTAACCATTAGATCGAGCCGCATGTATCAAGACAATTCAATTACCAGAGAAGCTTCACGCGAGCTTATGGTTTTGTTTCTTTACCTCCAATGAGGACACTTCCGGAGGTGCATTTCCGCGATAAATTAGCGGAAAGCTCACAGTATTGACGTTCATATCCTTCGAATACCTGACTCATCGCTCTCCTTCAACCTTCCATAGTCCATGGCACAAGAAGAACGTAAGAATCATCAATTAGCTAATTCGAATTGCATCGAAGTCTAATCTTACAGACACAAAATTGCATCGTAATTGTAGGGAACATTTATGAATCAGACATCAGATTAGTGGAACGATTCGAAAATCTCACCAAAGTGAAACGCGATGCCAACCGAACGATTTCTGCCGCGACCAGGAAGCGAATGCAGCCACAGGGGAATGATCGGAGAAAGGCCGGTCGCTTGTGCTAGAAAATGGGATTGGAAGAAAAACGTTTAATCAACTGCTGATGATTACGTGTCTTGCTTGGTTCGATTGTTTTGTGGAGATTATTACTTAGAATGGCAACAAAACTCGAATTTACGGAGATCCACCCGACCCAACCTGGTCAACACGAGTTCTCGAATTCACGGGTATTTATTCGAATCAACCCGGTCAACGCGATGAGTTTTGGGCTGGGTTTGAGTTTAAACTCGTTTACTATTCACCTGATTGGGTTGGGTTTGGATTTAGATAAACCCGCCTCATGGCTACCCGCCCACACCCATATAATTAATTTTTCCAGTATATTTAATATTTTAAACAACTAATCTTCTTTATGTTTGTGGAGATATGGGGTTAATTACATGGTTGGTCACTGAGATTACTAAAAATGTTCTGGTTTGGTCACTAAAAATATTTAATTCCGTTCGTGGTCACTAAAATTAATCAAACGGTTCAAGTTTGGTCATCCGTCAACCTTCGTTAATGCCGTCAGTTTTTTTGTTGACGTGGCTAACAGAAGTGTCTACTCATATATATATATTTTAAATTTAACACAATCCGCCACCTCATTAAAAACCCGCCATGTCAGATTGTCCCACTCAACCCATGACCCAACCTTTCTTTCTTGACCCACCCGACCTAAAAAAAATCTCAATTAATAATTATACAAATTAACCAAACCAATCTATCTTCACAAACCCTATTCATCCTCTATCGTCACTCCGCTTTGCCTTGCCACAAAACCGATATCGCCGCCGTCCAATACAACTGAAACACCCTAACCCCGCCGGGTATTAGTTTTACTAAAATGCCCTTGACAAATAAAATACTCAAATCTTAAATTGCAGCGGAAAAATTTTTCATAAATAAAATACTAAAAACACACACTTGTAGTTCAAAGCAAAGCTCTAACAAGTGGGCAAACTCAATACTAAAAATCTCCAAAATGATCTCAAGTCTGTACTCATTATCATAAATGTAAATGACTAATAATCTCTAAAGTTGTTGCTACTGAAAACCTTGACTAAGCATCCTCCGTGACGCTTATACTGCTCTCCTCTAGCTGGCTGCCCTCGAACTCGCTGCTCATTAACTACTCCTCTAGCTGCAACTATCGATCTAGTTCTCGCTTATTCCTTTACTAAGTCCTGGTGAGTGAGATGGGGTCAATCTACGCCCTTACGTTTAAACATCTTATTAATACTTGATCACTTTACTTAACTGAGTGGAAGTTGTTTTGTACTTCCACTATTTCGGGCTAACTAATAAATAGGGAGTTAGTTAAAAATCCCGTTGATGAACCAGTTTAGGATAGTTACCCAGAACGCCACTAGGGGATTTGGAGAAGAAAGCGTTAAATCGACAAGATTATCTACGGGGTGAATGTCTCTGCGCACTAAAGTGCCACATATTCCTGGTCAGGCTGGTGATCGAACCTTCTCCCAAATTCATCTCAAATGCACGAACCAGCCTCCCTTCGTGTGTTCTTATTACGCCTCCTGCTGCTGCATTGCCGCTTGTTGGAGTAACAGATCCATCCGTGTTCAAACAGAACCAATCCTGTGGTGGAGGCTTCCATTGAATCAGGGGCAACTAGCCCAAATCCCCAGATAACTCAAGGAATCGTAACAGAGGATCATATATCCTTTCATCCCTAAGTCCCAGTATTCATTCCCGTAGATGGGGAGACGCAGACAACTCAATCAATATCAACAACATGTCATGACCGATTAGGCTTGGTTTATTTTGTCAGAAAAGAAAGTAGGTTTCGGAAAAAGCTCAACTCTTAAAACTGTATGGGAGTTACTGTAACTCCATTCTTAAATCTCAAAACTTGACTTAAGTACTTGACCAACACTGGGATCCCTCACTAGCTAGTCCGGTTGCCAACTCATACGTATGATAAGCCATCCAGGCTTTCCTTAAACTTAAACTTAGTTAGGAGAGTCGTAACGATTCATCCCCCTAACATCTTAAACTTATCGTGGTGGCTCTTCACCACGATTCTCAAGAGCATAACTGATGCTCATCTTAAATATCTCAAGAGCATAACTGCTGCTCTGTCTCAAAGATCTCAAGAGCATAACTGCTGCTCTATATGAAAATCTCAAATGGCAACGGACTGGCGCTAGTGACTAAAAACACTTAAAACGACTTCACCTTCTTGAAGGTGAGTTACTTCTTAAAAAGAACTTGTTTCTTAAACTTTAACAATAAATTAAACATAACGCTTTAAAGTAAATAGCACAAAATCACCTCAAATCACATCAAATAGCACAAAATCACCTCAAACCATAACTCAAGCAAAGCACACATAATCAATCATACACATAACCAAGCAACAGTAACCAATTCGCTAAAATACTTCCACTGTTCTCCATGACTTACGTCTCAACTCATACACAACACTTCATCCCCGTATGTATTATATCCCTCTCACTATTAATCTTTACTTATTCCTTCAATCCAGTCCTTAACATGTCCATTATACCATGGACCAAGACATCCAACTACCCATTAAATACTCCCCTTAATAAGCTCTAGCCACGTTAGGTGCTAATAGCTAAAGGACAAAAAAAATCAGGACATGCTCCTTACCTCTACAATTGATCCATGGAATCTTCAATGGTGGTTCATCAGTACTCCAAAATCATGCACCTCCTTTTAATTTCCCTGGGACAACGCCGCCATTTCTCTGGGACAATATGCAAGGAGGCGACGGGGTTGTGCTTGTCCGCTGGTACGAGGGTAGAAACGGAGCTAGCTGCAATCTCCTTTGTTTCTTTTGTGTCCTGGCAGCCGGCGATCGGTGATGAAATGTAGTGGGCGGTGCAATAGGAAGATGGCCGACTAAATGGGTCTCCTCTGTCGGGTTTAGTTTTAGGTTTAATATATATTGGTTCTAGGTGAGGCCGATTGAGAAGTAGGGTTAGGTTAGGTTTAATTTCTTCGGGGTTATTTTGGAAATTTCATAATTACGGGTGAGTTTAATCTGAAACTCAGTAAACGTCCATAATTTTCTCACTTCATGTCAAACTCGACATCGTTTGAACAATTAGTTCACATTTTTAATCCTAATACGGTGGAACTTGACCCAAGGGTATGTTAGTCATTTTGACTTTTGGGGAAGAGCGGGGTGTAAAAACAACGTCGAAACTGCTCCGCCTAACCTTTTACTAATACTAATATCCCAATTACAGTAACTTAACCCCGCCCTTCAACTTCTCGCCGCCCACTCCGCCTAAACCCCCTTCCCTGCTTCCTTTGATTGGGAAAATCCATCTCATTTCAATTTTTTCCCTTTTTGGCAATGGGGTGGGTTATATATGAAGAAGAAGAGGGAAGATGGGGGAGCATGAGAAGAAGATCGGAATCCAGAGGGAAAGAGAAAGGAATAAGGAGAGGGGAATAGAAGAAGACAGGAGAGAGAGAGGAAGAACTCGAATCAGATATCAAGCATGACATAAGCAAACTTGGGGCTCGACCAAGAACTCGAATCTCACATCGATGGGCGGCGAAGAACTCAAATCTCGGCCGTCGCAAGGCATAATTGGAGGTAGAATTGGTGGCGGTCTCCTCGACTATCCTTTTCCCTCCGACTCCAGCCGTCCTTGTCCCTCTTCCTCCGCCTCCCCTGTCGAAAACAAGAAAAGAACGACAATTGGGGAAATTTCTGGTAAAACCATGGCTACTATTCTTCTGAACGACAACACGCAGGGCTTGATCCACCGTCCTCAACGCTATATAAAGCTATAAAGAAGACCGACGTCCGAGACATGGTCGGATGGAAGACGTCGTCGTTGGCTAGCGTGGAGTAGTGTTTTTGGGAAGAAGACCGATGTATGTTTGCGATCTGATTTGGGATTTGGCAGAAGATGGATTTTTTTCAGTTGGGTCAACAAGAGGAAGAAGAGAAAGGGTCGGGTCAAGGGTTGGGTTGGATTGGGTTGGTTTCTTATGTGGCTGATTTTAATGAGGTGGCGGGCCAGATATTTATTTTTTGTGGGTTAAAATTAGCTTATTAGGCACTTCTGTTAGCCACGTCAGCAAAAAATTGACGGCGTTAATGGAGGTTGACGGAAGGTAACGGAGAGTGACCAAACTTGAACCATTTGATTAATTTTAGTGACCACGAACGAAATTAAATATTTTTAGTGACCAAACTCGAATGTTTTTAGTAATCTCAATGACCAACCATGTCATTAACACTGGAGACATGTCTAATTTTTTCTTTCTAATTGTGTAGAATGAAGTTGATATTATCGAGTAGAGAGTGAATAAGGTTAATTGACAAGGAGAAAAATGCTTTCAATTAATCATGTTGTTTATGGATAATTTGTGAGTTGCTTCAATTTTCTTGAGTTTTTTAGAGTGGTGTTGAACAATTTGTATTATTAATTTGTGATTTGCTTGAATTTTCTAGAATGGTGTTTTATATATGGATAATTTGTATTGAGAAACTGATATTTGACTTTTATTTTGATAGGAATTTGTTATTGTAAATTTTTTAAGACAAAAACCCATGGGTACCCATGAACCCGTGGATAACCGGCGGGTTGGGTTTGAATTTTTTAAAACCCAGTGGGTTTTATGCGGGGTTCTTTTCACGTATAAACCCATAGGTTTGGGTTTGGCAAAACCCGACCCAACCTGACCCATTGTCATCCTTAATTGTTACCATCCATGTATTGTTTAGAATGTATTGTTTTTATTTTAACAGAAGCAATACATGAATTTTATTTGTGATATGACGTAAACTATCCCTCAAAATTAATTATTATATCTAATTTTTTAATTGTGATTGTATACTTGAGATTGTTTTGTCTCAACTTTTGTCTAATGTCACACACACAATTACACATAGCCAATGTTGTATTTTACAATATATCAAATTCGACAATACATGTATAATATTATACATGCATTCACAACAATACATGTTTTTAACAATCGCATGTTCCAAACCACCCTTACTTTATTATTTTCAACTGGAGTCTCCGAAATTCCATTTATGCCCTTCTTCAGTTTGTATTGTGTTTGTGTAACACCCTAAAATTCAAAAATCAACGCCCTAAAATGAACCAAAATTACAAATTTGACCCCATTCCCTCAACATTTCCATCGCCCTAATTTACTCGGCTACGCCCGTCACCGTCACCGCCTCTGCTCCGCCGCTCGAGTACGAAGAAGAAAGGAAAGTGTTACGAGAATTAAGCCATCGTAACTATTTGGCCTCGATCTAGACTTGGTTATTTTATTATTTTAGTAGTAATTGTCTTTATTATTGTTTTCATTATTCAAGTAGGATTCGGTTTATTATGTAGGAGTTAATTATTATTTACTTGTGGGTTGGGTTTCATAATCTAGGTAGGAAAAGGTAGAGAGGGTCGGCGGCCTTGTAGGAGTCTGATTGGTATTTTTGGGGTCTTTCTATGCCTATAAATATGTACTCTATTTTTCGTAAATGTCATGTGGAAGATTGGAATCCAATAGTAGTTGTAGTTATCTTCGTTCCTCTGAGTATTCTCTTCGTTCTAACTTTGTTTCTTACGAATATCTTTCAACATTGACGACGCACGTTACGTGAAGGTTCTCACCGAAGAGATACACGTGACAATTGGTATCATAGCCTGGTTTCTCTGCGACTAACGTGATCCGGGAAGATGAGACCAAAGAAGGCTACGCAAGCAATGACGACCTCCGACGAGCCGACAATCGACGAGGAGCTCCTCCATGCGCAGCAAGACGCCACCAGGCAGATTGAAGCGATCAGTCAACGTCAACAGGGCGTCGAAAGGGGGAATCTTGAAAGTTGAGGCCATGGTGGCAAAACTTCAGGCATCCCTTGCACATCAGATTCAGGAGGCTATCTCGCAGAGACAGGCGGTTATGGCGCAACAACTCAAAGACGCAATGGAGCAATAGCAGGCAGCCATGTTGGAGATGATGAGGCAACTCATCACGAGCTCCGGCGTGGGGAAGACGACGCCGAGCTCGTCTTTAACGCAACGTTCAACCGCGGACGTATCGGCTGGGGAGAAGCTCAAAGGGGTGATGACGGAGAGGAGGTCACGACGGGTAAGCTGGTCGCTAAGTTGCACACAACCGACTGTTAGGCACGCACGACAACCCGCGACAGTCGCAATGACGACGGGTTGAACGGGTAGTCATTGATTTTCGCAATCGGGCCGGAGTGGAGAGTTCTCGCGACTTCTGCAGGAACAATGCCGAGGAAGGAGGACGGTTGACGCAGGGAGACGATTACGCCTCGAGTTTCGTTTCATCCGGACTTCATCGGCGGCAACACGAGCCCAGTCAACTTTGAGATGGGTCTCGTCGCCGGGGGAATTCTAGGCGGCAGGCTAGAAACAGCTGCAGACAAGAGACGGAGTCCGAGTGTGCTGGGGATGGAGGAGGCGACCTGGGTCGGCCATGGGGCGAGCGGGACTGCTGGGCCTGCCATGGGGCGAGCGGGACTGGTGGGCGGGGCCCATGATCCACCATAGGCCTAGCAGCAGAGCGAGCGGGAGGGAGCAGGAGTGGGCCATGCGGCCTAGGGGAACCAGGCGAGCCTGGCGGGTCGGGAGGATTGGGCGGACCAGGCAGGTCCTGGTGGGCGCTGGCTGAATGGGCTTGGCGGGCCAGATGGGCCGGACTGGCCGATTGGGCCAGGAGGCGAATCAGCCCCAGCGGAAGGAGGAGGCGGGCTGAGAGATTGTGGGGCTGGGTTGGGCCAGTCTCGCGGGTACGGGTCAGGCTGGTTCGACGAGCGAACCGGTCCGGTTTGACAAAAGTTGACTCGATTGGAGTTTCCTAAATACAACAGGAGCAAGGATCTATCTAGATGGTTCGCACAAGTAGATTAGTTTCTTTAAATTTTAGGAAACTCCGAAAGAACATAAGGTGCTCTTGGCATCTTACCACATGGAGGGAGACGCCAACCAATGGTGGCAATTGTTGGATCGCGCTTATACGACGTCGGGGTTGACCATGACATGGCTCCGGTTTCGAGAAGAGTTATGGTCAAGGTTTGGGCCGTCTGACAACGTCTCTTGCCACGAGGAGCTTGCTAAAATCAAGTAAACCGGTTCCTTGAGTAACTATTTGTTGAGTTTTGAGAAATTGGGCAACCGATGCTTTGGATGGACAGAAGAAGCATAAGTGGGTTCATTCGTTGGTAGGCTCAAACCGGAAATATTTGATGTAATCCGTATGTTTAAGCCACGAGAAGCAATACGACTTGCCAATGAGAAAAACGAGGAGCTGGCAAAACATCGAGTAATGCAGAGGAGTCAACCGCGAGCATCCTTGGAGGCCGCAGCTGAGCCACCCCCACTGCCACCACGAGCCGCACCACCGAGCAACCTGAATTCTAGGAGGATGTCACCAGAAGAGGTAACACGACGCCGCGCGCAAGGAATCTGTTTCCATTGTGACGAACGTTTCATGATTGGCCATCATTGTGCCAACAAAAACGTGCTATTAATGATAGGCGCGTGCACCTACGAGGAGGAGGGTCAATTCGTTCATGTCGTTTGGATTTTGGAGCACAAAGTTATGGTTGTCTAAAGTTTGACGAAATCGGAAAAAAGCTCGTTCGGGGTAGCAAACGACATTTTTTGGGACGAAGGCGGGACCAAACCACCTTCGGCAGTCTTCGGCTTGCAAGATCTCAAAAGTTATGCGAAATAAAAAAAAATCGCAACGATCGGATACCCGAACACAAAGGTACGTTCGTTTGAAGTTCCCACCTAGGTTAGGATTTTTCAAAAAAAAAAAAAAAAACAGACCGCATGGTGGGGGTGTGGTCTGCAACCAAACCGCATAGTGGGGTTGCGGTCTGCAAAACCGCCCCCTACTAGTGCGGTTTTCATCGAAAAACGCGCTCCCAGGTGGCGGTTTTCGCCTAAACCGCTGGTATGGGTGGCGGTTTTGCAGAAAGGGTGCTATTTTTGGAATTTTCGGAGTTGGGTGCTATTTTTGAAATTTTATTTTTAAACAATGCTACTTTTGAAAAAATCCCTTAGTAATCCTGACTAGGGCGAAAGATTGGTTACAATTTTTTAGAAATTAAGGGGTCGTTTGCTTCAAGGATTTGGTACATGGATTTGGTACCAAAAAACCAACTATCAAGGATTTAGGTACAATCCGTTGTTTGCTTGCACCTTTTTAGGAGACCAAATCCGTGGGGCCCATGGATTTTAAGGGTCCAAATCCGTGGACCCCACGGACTTATAAATCCCACATGTTGATGTGGGATTTAGAATATGGCATAAATCCTTGATGACATTTTACCCATATACCCTCATGCACTTTTAATATTCCAAGGTTGCCCTCAAATTTAACTATTATACATTATAATTAACAATAAATGAATAATATAAACGTTCAATTAATGTGCAAACATGAGTTAGATTTTTTATATCATTTCTTGTGTTCTAGTTTTCTTTGACCTTTTCATGGAACGTGTAATTCTTTGTTCTCCCGATTCTAATATATGTTATATGTTACTTTTGAAAAGGAGGACAAAGAATTGGTAATTGATTATGTTACGTTAAAAGTTAAAACGGAATTTTCTCGTTTATTATTATTGTCCATGTTGCAACATTATGCTTATTTGTATGTATTGTCCTTGTTTTGTGTACATATCATAAACATGTCAAACATATAGAAAATGATAGTAAGGTAATTTTGAAGTTTTGTCCTTGTTTTGTGTACACTAGAAAAGACCCGCTCGCTCCGCTTCGCGTTTTTATAAAAGAGGAAATTGTCACCTTGGCAAATAAGTGATGCTCCAAGGTTGCCGACATAGAAAATGAAAGGCTATGGAACAATTTAAGATTTGCCTATCATCAATGATATGCTTAGTACTATACTTCTTACCTGCAAACACCAAATGACACTTCACACTTCCAATATGTAAACGCTAATCCATGTGTAAGATGGCAATAGTTCATTCTCAATCCATGAGCAACAAAAATAAGTATCATATCGGTAAACTTCTTCAGCAACCTAAGCATATTGTTTCACCAGGTTGTATTTCGTAATCATTTCCATGTGAGAAGCATACATGGTCTCATTCTCATCGTACACCTCAGCATTAATACATGGTTTAATTGAAATTCGGACATACTGTATACACTGCAATTGTGCTAATTTTTGTTGCTGCTGGATTTCATCTATAGTCTATAGTCATCGTGCTCATCTATCCATTCCTGCAACTACTGACAGTGGCTAAAACAAATACAACAATAATAACCACAACCCTTGAGGCTTAGCAATCATTACATGCAACAAAACAAAAATCAAAAGTTATAACTGACAGCTTTCAACGATAGATCCGTTCTACTGGAAAAAAGAAAAGAAGATGACTGTCCTGTTCGAAAATCTTTGGCTAAGCATCATAAAAGTCTAAATCTATTTTCTTTCTTCCTGTTGTCTTTTCTACACCTGGTGCTAATCAAAACAGATCTGCATAATATAAATAAGACAACCAGCAAATTGAGATGATTGAACTTCCAAAAGTAGCCAAACACAAATGTTAAATCCCTTGAAATAAAAAATTAAAATGAACTTTGTAATTTGATAAGGAATGTCAAAAGAAAATGCATCACAAGTCCGAAAGCATATGTAATATTCAAGAAATTACAATTAGCTAACTCCTACCTGCCGGTACTGGATTTCCATTAGGCTGGCATCAAACATTGGCATGCTCTTGTTATTTTCCAAAGAACAGGCTCACAT